TCCTGATCAAAGTGCTAGATTGCAAAACTGAGACGTCAATTTTTGCAACAATGACTGACTTGCATCCATGTTGTTTTGTTAAAGTGAAACGGGCAAGCATGATGCTTATGTTGATACTTATGGCACTCTGTTCTACTATGGTATCTGGAAATCTGTCTGCTGAGTTGCAACGACTAAATTATAATGTAGTCATTTTAAATTGTGTGCAAATTTTACTAAGTTCTTACATTAATAACAACTCTAAATTGTATCCTTGGTGATTTTCAGATTAAATAATATTTTTACTTTTATTTTCAACATGGTCAACTCCTTATACCTTTGTCAAACCATTTGCCTGATATGAACTAAAGATACAGCACCTAAATATTCTGCAAAATAGAAAAGTTTTATTGTATATTTTGTTTGAAGAGTTTTATTGTAATACTGATTTATAAAGTCTGTATGATACATGTACATATATATTTTTCACTAACTTTGTATTACATGATGTTGATAACAGGGAAAAAGATATTACTTATTTCCAATATGGAATTATTTTGGTTTTAATCTTTATATCTTATATTACAACATTATTGTATACGTTATTAGTATGTTTCACAATTTTGGTGTTTTTGCAAGCATGTCTATATTTGTATATTTTTCCGTTACTTACCTAGAACTCTCACTGTCCCACAAACAAACTTTTACACTTTATAGGAATAAAGTAATTTCAGGGGGGAGGTCGTGTCATGCTATGAAAAATTAGCTATTTTCTTTTTATATTTTACATTATGTATATTAAATAAGTGATGTGAAATATTTGTATTGAATTTCATTTTAAATTTTATTTTGTATTTTCTGATTTCAAAATTAAGCATAAATTTATAAATGATAAAACTAGATTATACCCTTTTTCTTTGTTAAATCTCAAGTACATTTAGGTGGTCAATTGGAATGTCTCAAACAGGTGACATGTTGTTACAGAGAAGCCAATGTGCTAAAAACCTTTTACACTAGACAAAGAATTGTAAAATGCTTGTTATATTAACATCTGTGATAAACTTTATTCTTTTAAAAACATAGACAATTAAATTTACTAATAGTGATTAGAAAATATGTAAGTTATTTCTCAAGTATTTTCAGACTTAAGCCAGATCTTGTAGTTCCGCCTCTCTAGAAATAATGTTTAATTATTGGTCAACTAAGTTAAACCAATGGACAGTGAGAGAACCCCTTAAAAGATCCCTTTTCCAGCTGGCAGTATCATTCTGCCTGATTAAACTGTATGTGTTAAAAAATTAAATAAAAGCTGGAAAAGTGGATTAAACTTTCTTATATTTTTATATCTAGGTAAGTTGTATTTTTATTCTATGTACATGTTGTAAATGTTTGATGTTAAACAACTAAAATTTAGTTAAGAACACTAAGCTGTTCTTATTTTGAATACTTGAAAATATAATTATGTTAATAACTTTGTTAAAAACTTCAGGTAACAAGATGTTACTTAATATTTGAATATTATCTATTTGTTCAAGTAAATGAATGTAAAACTTACTTTCATTAATATGTTAGAATTTAATATTCTGTTTATATTAGATCATTCTGCCTGATTAAACTGTATGTGTTAAAAAATTAAATAAAAGCTGGAAAAGTGGATTAAACTTTCTTATATTTTTATATCTAGATATTCCCCATTGTGAAAGATTCTGCCCCAATAAGCGAAAGTAGAACACGTATAAACGAAGGCAGAACAATATGCTAGCTACATTTAACCATAGACACTTGGTTTTAAGTCGGAGACTCTCTTCACCAATCAGTAGCTGCCAAATTTACCGATTTTTAACTCATAATACCTGCCATTTTTCACTTGTTACGAATTTCCTAATACCCGCCGTTTTTCACTTGTTACTTATTTCATAATACCCGTTTTTTCACTTCTTTTTCTTTTCTTCCACAGGTACTCGTAGCAAGTGAAAAGCCTTAGGTATTAAAAACGAATGTTACGTTAAATTCGGATAAATTTGGTGCTGTTTTTAAGCCTGGTCATACTACGCGGGTGAACAGGCTGTATAGTGTTGGCAAGGGCTTATTTACCCTCGGTTCCAGCAGAATCTACTAAAGTAGATTAAAATCTCACAGCTGCAGCTGTTTGATATGCCTGTCGAGAGAAGCGTCATCGTGAAGTAAGAGTCGATTATTTCTATCCCTACAAACTATTTCGCTGGACGAAATAAGAAATACAGTTATATAGAACACTAGAGACATTTTAAACATTTTGGTGATGTGTTTGTCAGATATAAATGCAACAATCTGTCCATGTCGGCTGTCTTATCAGTAACCAACTTTTAAAAGAGGAGACAGGCCATAATATATAGAAAAGGAAATGGGAGCAAATTGAGGTTCTTCTATTGGAAAAAACATTTTCTTTTTTTAATATTTTCATTTTTGAGGATTTGAAAAAAATGGTTTTTCGTGTTTTAAAATATTTGGAAATAGGATCATAGTTTGTTTTGGAAATATAATTTTATTTGAGATAAAGTTATTGCAGTTAATATTGGAAAAACATTATGTTTTCATTGAAGGTCACTCTTTTAGGTTAGTAATGCACACACACAAAAAAATTTTAAAGCCTGAATTCCAGAATAAACAGATACTCTTTTCTTCTTTAGAAAAGGCAAACATGAGTATAAACATGAGTTTTATAAATAAAAGTAACACTTTTAGGGAGAGCTAGATGCTTATAACTCATTAAAAGTATATTGTTTAGCGCTGAATGTTGAATTATTTGTGATAAAAGCATAGTAGTATTTTGACTTCCATACAAAAAAACTAAATTACTATAACTATACTTATTGCAAAAAAGGAACAAAAGCAAAATATATTGGGCTGAGTAAACGTGTAGAAACAGGGTACCAAAAAATAAATAGCTTTTGAGAAATATAAGTATGGCTTTTATTTGTGTCCATTTGTTTGTTGAGATTAAATCTTTGATTGTGTTTAACTTTGTAGCCAACGAAAGAAAAGTAACATGCCAGTATTATTCTGATATAATATATGTGAATAATGAGTGGTTAAATATGTATATTTTGATCTTTATATCGTATATCTACGTATTCAATAATCGACATTTTTATCTAGGGAATACTCGTAAAGATATCACAATAACATCTAAGAAAATATGTTAATTTTAATTTTCTCAGGATCAATGTTTAAGACAAAAGTGATAATATACCTACAGTTGAGTTCACACTAAAGGTTACACAAAGTGCACTAGGAGTGCACTAGATGTGCACTACTAGTGCACTACAAAGTGCACTACTAGTGCACTTCATAAGTGCACTTTGTAGTGCACCAGACCTATTATATGTATTAAGCAGTTACCTTTTATTTCACTGAATAGCAATTTGACTTTTACAAAAAAGATAGAAAATATAGATATCTGTTTAATAGTTTTTCAATAAAAATTTGAAATTGTGATTATTGGATTTTGTAAAATATGGCGTAAAATATAAGAACAATAAATTTCAAAGTCATTAATTTTACTGATTTTGTACTTTAAAATTAATTGTTAGAATAAGTAATTTAAATATAAATAATTATAACTTTAATGTTGATAAGTGCATAAATAAACAAACTTAATTGATATTTAATATGATTCTATTTTATTATAATCTGGTAATGAAATATGAAACATTGAAATGCTAATCAAACAAAATTAATTGGGGGGGAGGGGGAATTATACCGTAGTATTAGTTATTTTTGATCTGAACTTATGGTTGTTTTAGTTAAAGGTAATGATTTTAAGCATTAATAGCCTTTAATACATTAAAGAATTAATATGTTTATAATTTGCCTAAATTTTGTCAATTTTATTTCATTTATAATCTCTCTTACCTTAATTCTCAAACTGAGATTTACTTAAGATTAATATAAATGATATATATTATTCTGAAAATAAATATTTATATATAATGGTGGTATGTATTGATATGTGTGGATTAAGTATTGATATGTACCTGTGGGATACTAGTATACTTAAACTGACATGGATATTAACAAAAAGATTAGAAAATCTGTCAATTCCATTTTTTGAGACGACATTGTTATTTACCCTGAGGGGCTCTCTTATCAGCAGGGTACTATATCAAAACACCAATACACAGCATGACTTTTGACACTTTAATCTCCTGTAACTGTTTTCTGCTCATGTATGATATTAAATTAAAAAAAAAAAAAAACAAAACAAAAAACAGATGCATTGAAAAGGAAGTTGCAAAAATAATCATGTATTTAAATAATATTTTCTTTAAAATATATTATCTTCTAAGTGCGTGAAAACTGACAAGGCAAATTTGTCAAATCTATAATAGAAAAAAAATTTTAATGCAGAATTGCAAAAAATGTGAAAAAATATTGATACAAAGTCTTTGTAGAATAGTTAACACTGATATTGGTTTTAAACCAGTTTTTTATAATAAGATTAGAAAATTCCACTTCAAAGACAATAAATGACAATAATATCTAACGTGCGTTTATGACATTAAGATTATTTTTTACATTTGATTATACAAAAAGTATAGTCATTTATCGAGGACTTACATGTATTTTGGGGGAAAAAAAGGAAATTTTCAATAAATATTGCATACATTTGCATTTTTGTTATTTACCCTGAGACCCTCTTATCAGCAGGAGACCAGTGTAATGCATAAAAAAAATACCAATACACAGCATGACTCGAGACTTTCCTCTTGTATAAAAACATTCCCTTTATACATTACATTTTTAATGTAGAAATCTTTAATAAAGTTATCAATTTTATTTATTTTATGGAAAAAATTTAATTATGTATATCTTTAAAAAGTATGCAAGCATTTTATGGTTGAAAAACATAATATCACAGTGTATAAAATGTTTTAAAATCAATGAATTAATATTCTCTTTCAATCTTGAACATGAGGAATTGCCTCTTAAGTTATATATTATCACGGATTTATATTGATATTATATAGTAATATATCCGTGATATTATTATGCAGAATGGCAAGAAATGTGGATAAATGGATACATATAGAAAATTCCGCTTTAGAGACAATAATATCAGAGACATAGATAACATCTATCTATGTCTCTGATAATATCTATTATGCATTTATGCCTTTATGTTTTTTTTTGTATATTTGATTATACAAAAATTATGGTCATTTACTGAGTGCCAATGCCTGATGAATCCCAGGCTTATGTCTGACATGCATTTTGAGAAAACCAGGGAATTGGAAAATTTGTTATAAAAATACTTAAATTAAAGGATGCTTTTCATAACAAGTTTAAAATGGGGGATCAGAAGTATTTTTCCTAGTTGTCTATTTTGTACAAACAACACACGTGAGCTCACGACCTTCTACATAGGGCGGACATTTCAATGAGCCACATACGCCTTCTACTAAATAAAACAGGCGACCATTATTGTTGGCATGCCCACCCATGACAACTTCCGGTCTTGAATCGAGGCAGATGTATTCTGATGCAGAAGCATGCCCATCTGCTTCAGACACAAGATATCCATTGTATTCTTTGGTCCATCCTGGATAACAATCAAGACGACCTGGTAACATCATCATGATCGGTCTAGTTGACTGGCAAACCGCGCATGGAGCGTCCTCTTCATAGATATGTTCCCCGCCAAAAAAAGCAGATCCTTGATCCGAAAAAGTGTCTCCAAACTGATATTCCACACCGTATATTTTGCTACCAGAGGTTACCGAGTCATCATAATGAGCCCATTGCGGGTCTGTCGGTAAACAGAGGTGATTTGTAGCGCCGCCTGATTTGCCGTAATAGAATCCTGCTGAGAAACCTACAAAATGTCAACATGTATATGAATCGTATGAAAATATTACATGTTGCTTCAGAAAACATATTTATGTACGCCCGACCTACTTTGACTCTTTACTGATAGGTAAGGCACCATGTATTAGCTAATTTTCAGATACATGTATAATGATATGTATAACAAAATACTTTGAAATCCATTTTTTTCCAGCGAATTGTAGTAAAGGGTATGTGAATCAAATTATAGTAATTATTTAATAGTTACTTTTTTATTATCTTATAAACTAAAACGTTTTACCTGAATAGACGAGATGTGTGCCATTTGCAGGACATGATGTTCTGCCCCATCTGACATAAAGGCTGTGTCCTCCTGTTCCTACAATAATAATTAATACTTGATGTAGGACACCACAATATTCAAGTATTGTACAGTCATTCAGACACTGTTTTCAGTGGCACTTTGGATCAGTTTATGTTCCCTTTAAAAGGAACTCCACTGAGGTCCAAAAGCCTAAAATCATAAAATTTGAATTTCTTACATAGGTCAACTGGCCTGTTCAAACAAAATGATATTTAAAGGATAATTTAGAAATAAACTCAGAAATAAATTGAAATCGTATTTTTCTGCGATTCTTAATTCGATTTGAGCGAAAAGCATTGAAATGCTCTTCAATTTTTGGTCATTTTTAGAATCAAAATAATAAATCTGGAAAAACAGAGAGAGAGCGAATAATCTGAAATTTGTATTAGTGTAGTGGAATATTAATCTTGAAAAATTATTTTCCGTTCCATCATGTAAACACAGAATTCAGTTGAGTCCCTTTAAGAGCGTATACCTCAGCCAATTAAAGTACAAATCAATGTATACATATGTGGCTTAATTGAATTTGCCATTCCCGGGACTTTAAAACTTAGCCATGCTATGTGTCAAAGACGATAATTATTAATAAACCTTGTCATAATATGACAATATGATATGATCTTGTTTACCTGTGTAACTTTGCAGTGTTGCGACAGTGGACTTCAAAGTTGTTATTTCAGACTTCATTGCATTAACCTAATTTCATAAAAGAATAACATTTTTTCAACAATGGATAATCAGGTTTTGTAGACAACATGCCAATTATTAAGAGAGTTATTAAAAAGAGTATTAGTAAATTTTGTGAGTAGCTGGCAACCATCTGATCTGTAGTCGGGCAGTGTAACTTGTCGAATCGGGCGATTCCAGTGCGATTCCAAGACGGTACAGGTCACTTTAGTTGTGATTGATCATGAAATCCTTTCTACGGTCATTCGTATTTTACAGAATTATATCAGTTCCTTGCGAAAGTGAATCCAACTAGAAATGATAAACCGTCTGGATGAACTATGCTCTGGCTTACTGCTGCAATCCGGAGGGTTATCTACCAACACCATCACCACCACCACCACTTGCTGACCACTCATCCGTTCACATTCAAATTAACTGATTTCTGATTTTCTTTCCGCCTAACAGAACGGCATCAATACGTCAAATGCAGTGAACGTTAATATGATGGCCAATTGTAGATTAGGTGAAATGATGCTTTAATAGCCAGATGCGAAGACGACAATAAGCCAACACGTTGTTTTTATGGATATGAATATGGTACATTAGCCATTACAGAAATTCAAAAATTATGGGCCAATGATTAAAAGAACTAGTTTTAAATACAAAGCAAAAGTTGCGCAAACAAATCTGCAAAAATGTGAGTTATCTTAAAATTAAATAATGATTTTCTCTAACAAAAAATCTTACCTCTGCAGCTAATGTCTGATATGCCTGTACAAGAGAAGCGTCATCGTGAAGTAAAAGTCGATTATTTCTATCCCTACAAAATATTTCGCTGGCCGAAATAAGAAAAAAAGATATATAAAAAACAAAACACATTTTGTTGACGTGTAAGTCTGATATAAAATGAAAGTCAGCTTATATGACAGTTGTCTTATCAGTGACGTACTGTTAAAACTTATGGGTTTAAAAAGTCCTTCTAATAGAAAAAAGTCAGAGTAGTAAAGTTTGTAAATTGACTTTTGTTTTCATTGAAAAATGATCGGAGTCTGTAATGGAATCGGTGCTTTTTATGTTACAAATATTCAAAATATTTTTATTGTGAAAGAGGAGCAACGTTTGTTGTAAAAATGCTTTTATTCATACATGTAATACTTGGTACTATGTTTAACTTTGCAGACAATTATGATAGGGTTATATATGTTAAAATGATATACTGTATAAACAATGATATACTGTATGAACAATGATATACTGTATGAACAACGAAATACTGTATAAACAACGATATACTGTATAAAAAATTATATACTGTATAAAAAATGATATACTATATGAACAATGATATACTGTATGAACAATGATATACTGTATAAAAATTATATACTGTATAAACAATGATATACTGTATGAACAATGATATACTTTATGAACATTGATATACCTTATAAACAACGATATACTGTATAAAAAAATTATATACTGTATAATATATTATATGAACAATGATATACTGTATGAACAATGATATACTGTATAAAAATGATATACTGTATAAAAATGATATACAATGTACTATAATTTATGAACAATGATATACTGCATGAACAATGATATACTGTATAAACAATGATATACTGTATAAACAATGATATACTGTATAAACAATGATATACTGTATGAACAATGATATACTGTATAAACAATGATATACTGTATGAACAATGATATACTGTATAAACAATGATATACTGTATAAACAACGATATACTGTATGAAAAATGATATACTGTATGAACAATGATATACTGTATAAACAATGATATACTGTTTAAACAATTATATACTGTATAAACAGCGATATACTACAAGAAAAATGATAAACTGTATAAACAATGATGTACTGCATGAACAATAATTTATTGATTAAACTATGATATGCTAAATAAACAACGATATACTACATGAAAAATGATATACTGTATAAACAATGATATACTGTATTAACAAAAATATACTTCATGAACAGTGATATACTGTATAAATAATGATATAATATATAAATTATGATATACTGAATAAGCAACGATATACTGCATGAACAATTATATATTGTATAAACAACGACATACTGTATTTAAACAATGATATACTGCATGAACAATGATATATTGTATAAACAATGATATACTATATAAACAACGATATACTGTATGAACAATGATATACTGTATGAACAATGATATACTGCATGAACAATGATATATTGTATGAACAATGATATACTGCATCAACAATGATGTACTGTATGAACAATGATATACTGTATAAACAACGAAATACTTCATGAAAATTATATACTGTATTAACAATGATATACTGTATAGACAATGATATACTGCATGAACAATGATATACTGTATGAACAATGATGTACTGTATGAACAATGATATACTGTATAGACAATGATATACTGCATCAACAATGGTAAACAGTATGCACAATTATATACTGTATGAACAATGATATATTAAATAAACAATGATATACTGAATAAACAACGATATAATGTATGGACAACGATAAACTGTATCAATATTTGCCCGTATTCGTTATTTTTTCTTTTTAACATACAAAGAAGAAACACATTTGTCCATTTTTCTTTTTAATTTTATGCTATATTTTAATCAAAATATTTCCATATTATATGATGTGCGAGGTTCTTTTATACAAAATGGTAACTCTTCTACAGAAATTGATTCAATTAATATAGAAATAGCATCAACAATTAAAGCCTGTATATAGGCATAATACACAACGGTACTAAAAGTCCTCGTATTTTTTTATCATCCCTCTAAACTGCTGCATAAAGGAATTTTACCTAACGATAATTGACTGCATATCCAGGACTACTTGAATGCATACATGGGAATTTGACGATACTAGACTTCATATAAAGAATTCTACATAACGGTACTTGACTGCTTATATAGGACTTCTACATATCGATACTTGACTGCATATAGGAATTCTACATAACGATATTTAATTGTATTTAATTCTACATAACAGTACTTGACTGTATTTAATTCTACATAACGATACTTGACTTATTCATTTCTACATAACGGTACTTGGCTGCATTTAGGAATTCTACATAACGATACTTGATTGTATTTAATTCTACATAACGATACTTGACTGTATTTAATTCTACATAACAGTACTTGACTGCATATATAGGACTTTTACATAACGATACTTGACTGTATATTTCTACATAACGGTACTTTACTGCATATATGCATTCTACATAACTTTACTTGACTGCATATAGGAATTCTACATACAGATATTTGACCGCAAATAAGATTCTACATAACGATACAGGATTTGTACATAACGGTACTTAATTGTATTTAATTCCTCATAACGAATTCAAATGATAGTTTTGAAACGTTTATGCTAGTGTAAAGAATATATGTTTAAAGGAACACTATGATTCAGAAAGCCATATCTATCTAAATCTTTAAAAATGTCAAACATGTGTTAAATAATGTTTTGAAAATGGAATTAGAGCCTGATAGATTTTTATTAACTTAAAAAATTAGTAATGAATGTTCAGAAATGTGTAGTAAAGGTAGCAAAATGTAAACAAACATTTGTAGTACTTTGACTTCCATACAAAATATTTATTCACTATAATTAAACCAATTGCCAACAGAGCAAAAGGAGCAAAGATAGTTAATATATGTTGCAAATGTTTTTTCGAAACGGTAACAAGGTATCAAAAATAAAGCGTTTTTTTGGGGGGAAAATAATAGCATTTCAGAGGCATAATGGGTCTTTAACAGGTACTTCTGATATCGGATATACATGTATATGCACTTACAGTTTTCTCTCATTGAAACATGTGTCAAAATTACATGGTTCTTATTTGCCGCAAATGAAGTCGGTAAAGGTGATCCCTTGACAATAGCCTGATCTATTTATGTGCAAAGAACAATGGCAAATCTATATTCAATGTTCATAACAAAATCATATAGAGCTCAATTATTCTAAAGTTACAGGTTCGTTCCACTTTATAACACATGCCTTTTAAACAAAAGAAGCATTGATATAAGTACGCATTAAGTTTCTTTGATAATTCTCCCTTTAAAAATTAAATACCCTTAGTAGAAGAATTGTGCCGTAATACAGTGAAATGAAATAGGCGAAATATAGATACTTGTATATTTGTAAGAATGGGGAAAAAAGAGGTTTCGGCGAATTCTCAGCCGACGAATGGAAAAAATGTTCCGGCGTTAAACACGGCCTACGATCTGGAGTTTCTGTGTACAACATGCGAGCGTGATGGTGTACAGAATGAGGCCAGCAACTACTGTATGGAATGTGAGGCGAACCTCTGTCTAATGTGTGTTGGTCAACATAAGAAGTTTCCGACGATGCGAGGTCATAAAATTCTAGGAAAGTCCGCTCGTCGGCATATCAATAAAGACGTGGAAGAGGAAGAGAATCTGTTGGAATGTCATAACCATCCTGGAAAAATGGTGGACATGTACTGTCGAGAACACGACGAAGTGTCCTGTGGTGGTTGTATGGCCGTGTACCACAAGTAAGTCAAACAAAATATTATCCAATCCATGCGCGAGGTTGTGTGCAAGTTAATTTGTTATTACAGTACTTGATTTCGATACAGGAAAATAAATTTTTCATCCTCGTTATGAACCCTTCAAATTATTATTTACGATTGCCGCATTTTCACAAGAATGGTTTTATACGCAAAATTGTTATTTAGAAAAATTACATTACACTTGTTATTTAAAAATCTAATTGTAAAGAGTATGGTTAAACTGAAAACTCATTATTAAGTCAGTATTTCTCGAACAGTATAATTATTTTGTAAACAAGGTTAAGATTTTTGTGCTTGTTCTGTTTCATCTAGGACTTGCTCTGACGTCACTTTCATATCAGAAGCTTCGAAGAATATTCTGAAAGGCAAAGATTATAAAGATAACAAAGTAAATGTCAAAAAGATGAAGAAAGATTTCGAACAACTCAAGACAGTTGTTGAGAACAGTCTCGTTAATTTAGCACAGCAGAATGATCGCGTGTTGGCAACAATGAAAGACATTCGTTTGCGGGTCAATGAACTTCTTGACGAAATGGAACGCAAAACTATCCTTCAGATGAGAGAGATATACACCAGGAATTCTGTACAGATTAACGAAGATATTCTCCGATGCGAGGCTGTCTTGAAATCAATGCGTCAATTAGAACGGGAGCTGGACAAACCGTTAAGCCCGACTAACATGGAGCCAGATATTTTCATATACACGCACCGTGCCAAGCGTAAACTCATTGACGGAAAGCAATATTTCGCCGCCATAAAGAGGGGTACGCTAGGAGAAAGAATAAAGTTTGTTGTCGAGCCAAGCATCGAAGAATGGCTATACAACATGCGAAATGGCCTGCTTGGTCATTTTATCTTCAAGTATCGCCTGAATGAGATTCACATTGGTGTTGAAGACGACAAGGAAACATGTGTTATTAATGGCGCATCTGTCGTAGCAGACGAACGAATTCTCATGACCGACTGGGGGAACAAGAAACTCAAATTGCTTGATAAATTTTTCTCCGTCGTGGATAATATCCAACTCCCATCGGCACCGAATGACGTTTGCCACATTTCAACCAATGAGGCAATGGTCAGCCTTCCAGACGAGAAATCATTACTTGTTGTAAAAGTAGATCCAAAACTCACACTTGGAAAGAAATTAGATATTGGAGTAGAAGGAAGAGGTATGGAGTATTGGGCCGGCGAATTATTTATCATCTGCGGAGGGTTAGAACATGAGGTCAAAGGACACTTGCGTATATATACAACACAAGGAAAACTCATTCGCGCCATCGAACACGACCATCTACAAGACGGAATCTTCTCAATACCTATGCGCATCGCTATTTCCAACGATGGCAGCAAGATTTATGTAACGGATGGAGAGAAAGGCCTCATCACACTGAAAAAATCAGGGGAAGTAACACCGCCATTTTCAGACCCGGAAATGAAATGGCCATGGGGGATTTGCGTGGACAATAACGACCAGCTATTTATCTGCGGTAGCAGTTCTAATAACGTTGTGCAGGTGCGAGAAAACGCTAAGATAGGCGTGGCATTAAGAGCTGAGGACGGGCTCAAAGACCCTATGTCAATATGCTTTTTCCCGGTTGGTTCCCGACTTATTGTCACCACAAATAAGTCGAACTTTATAAAAGTGTTCACACCAATGTAAACTACACTGCCGAGTAGAACAGCAAATGTGAAAAGTCAATTGATAATTGGGTGAAACTGAAAAAATAAAATCGTCTTGTAAATTGAATGTACATTTGAACATTAATTTATATTTAATTAGTTTCTATCTATATACATGTTATATCACTATATGAATGCTTTCTTGTTGTTGTTTTTTTTAAAGAAAATGGAAATAAATTATTTATTTTTCTACAATCTTTTTTTTTTTCTACGTTACGCAAGTTGTTTTGTACACTGGTATTTTGCGAGGTTCCGTTTATTATTTCTTATATCCCCTCTATTGTAATTCCCGTTTTACACCACTATAAAAGCATGACTATTACTTTAAACATATTTTCTTTTAATTAATACACTTGACTGTGTTGAAAGTTTTAACTTTTTTTACAACACTCGAGTCCGACTCCTGTGACCAGACCAGGTCTTGGTGTCATATGCAAAAATATGGTCGTGACTTAAATAAGGCTCGAAACCAAATCTCTGGGGTTAAGAGGCAGTTACCTGAACCTCCAGAGCACCGCTGATGGGTACAGTCTTTAAAATCAGGGCATAAATACCGCTTGAGTTGGTAATGTAACCAGTGAGAAGATCTGAAGTTAAGCCAGTCTACACATGGGTATAACATTGGACAACAAAAGTACATGTTTGTGATAATACATGTATAACACATGCCTCAAACCATAATATTTGTTTTTTTTAAAATACATTTTTTTCTGAACTGACTTTGTTAGATATGTTGCTCAACGTACATTTAACGGATCCACATGTACTATGCGTGAATTAATATCTTAAAATGAAATTGATATCTCTTAAATGGATTAAAACAATTAGGTTAAAAATCAAACGGTTCAACGGTTATGTATTTATAAAAATCGAGAAGAGTATCAGTTCTGTAACTGAATATCTATATTTAAGTGAAAGCTTGACTTATCTTTAAAGTGTTAGGTGTATGTATTGAAACTATTAATAAAGTTTAACAAAAATAAATCTATAACAATTTTTTAAACAATATGTCGCTTATTTCAACTTTTACACAGCTATTGGGTTACATATTTTAGTAATACCTGTAGTCAGAAAGCAATTAAGACAGGACAATTAAACTTAATATCTTAATTTTTTTTGGAGCTGAGTTTTTTTCGTAAAGAACAGAGAAAAATGAGTCGTATTCGGTCAGCTGCAAGTGGAAGGTCGAATACTACTGTTGCAAGTTCCAGGACAGGACGAACAAACAAAACAGTTGGGACAAGAGGTTCGAAGACCACAGCAAAAACAGAACTCGAATACCCGTGCAACCCGTGCATGCGAGAGAGCAATAATGTAGAAGCTACAAATTACTGCGACGACTGTGGTGAAAATTTATGTGCTGATTGCGTAAAGCAACATGTCAAGTTCCAGTCCATGATAGACCATAAGATCCTCGGCAAAGATGATAGGCGGCGAAAAGACGATGATGGAGCTAAACCGAGGAATAACCCACTAGAATGTTCTGAACATCCTGGAAAGAGAGTGGATATGTTTTGCGCAGACCATAACGAGGTATGGTGTGGGGCCTGCATCGCAATCAATCACAGGTACCTTTCTTGTAACATTATTTGACCAGCAAACGTTATATAAATTATCTTCTATGTGTCGTAAAGTTATTATAAAACATCATCTTTATTTTCGTCTATTTACATTTTTAGATACTTAATCACATGTAGATATTTTTTACAATTCTTTTAATGTTTCTTATTGTCATAGCAATCTAATCTGTGCTTTATATTTTTTTAAAAAGGACCTGCCTCAATGTTGTACTGATTGAATCTGCTTCAAAAGGTGCTGCTAAGAAGGATGAAAGTAAAGAAGCGAAGAATAATGCCCGAGAAATGAAGAAAAAGCTCGTGTCATTAAAAAGGCAAACAGAGAAAGATATTACTAAAATTGATCGACAACAGAACACGTTGACAAACAGAATAAGGGAAAACAGAAAAAGAATTGACAAAATTCTAGACAACTTGGAAAATGCAACAATATCTGAGTTGGAAAATGCGTGTAGCCGCGGGAGAGACCAAATGCAAGAGTACTCCCAAATGTATAGTGAAATGATATCTAGCCTTGACTCAATCGCCGAAATACTAACTCCCCAAAAAGGTTCAAAAGGAGGCGTTGAAAGGGACACTGAAGTTTTCGTTGGAACAAAACGAGCTCAAGAAAGGATCATGAAAGGCGAAAGAATTTTGAATTTTGTTCAACATACCTACGTTGCAGAACCAATCATGTATGTGGCAGATGAAAGAATTTATGACTGGTTAAAAAGTTTACAGGTACTAGGTACGTTTTCTTATCAACAGGAAATATATACAGGGCAATATTTAGAAAGGCATGATGTTAGTGTAGCAGACGAATATAAAAAGTGTGACATGTTCGGATCTACGTTTCTTAAAGATGGAAGGTTCATTCTAACTGACTGGGATAATAAAAAGGTAAAACTCCTTGATAAATCGTTCACCTTAATAGACCAGATCGTTCTATTAAGTAATCCAGATGATGTTTGCTCTATCAACCCAGAGGAAGCAGCTGTCACTTTGACCATGGAAAAAACTATTCAGTTTATCAGTCTTGTTCCTAAAATGAAACTTTCGAGAATGATCTACACGGATGAACCATGTCGCGGTATAACATACCATGACGGTACCATTTATGTCGTCTGCGGCGGGTTCAAAGATGAAGGTTGTGGGAAAATTGCTGTGTATACTGTTTTGGGTGAACATGTTAAAACGATTGAAAAGAATAATACTGGACAAAACATTTTCGCTTGTCCAATAGCTATTCAGGTAGTTTCAAACGGAAAATTAATCTATGTAACTGACGGAAACCGCGGAATAGTGACATTGACGTCAAATAATGACGTTGTGTCTGTCATTTCTTACAAAGAATTTGCTTGGCCGTGTGGATTATGCATAGACAGAAATGACAATGCCCTGATATGCAACGGAAAGGGAAGTAATATCATACAAATATATGGACTAAACAGGGTCGCCACTATACTTTCAAATAAAGATGGTGTAAAGCGACCTCACTCAATTTCTTTCGACCCAAACAGCATGAGGATTGTCTTGACATCTCAGAAGTCAAAATTTATCACAGTTTTTCAATTAACAAAAACTTCTTTAAAGGACGTAGCCGAAGGAACTGAAGTAAAGTTTAAAGTTGTTGAAAAACAGCCGAAGTCTAATGCAAGTAATAAAATTATAAATGTTCAGCCTGTTGTCAATATGAACACATCTGAAAACGAAGATGTTGTTGAACATAACGATAATGCAAACAAGCTAACTTTGCCGGATATCAAAGAATCTGCTCTTGAAAAGTCCACAAACAGTGTGACCAGACGAAATAGTGCGTTGTCTAGGAGACGTAGCAGGGATATTTCAGCAAAAGAATCAGCAAGTACAACTACTGAAAAAACTAACAACACTTTACCCAAAGGGAGCCTAGCAGGTTCTAGAAATAAATCAGCATCCCGTGAGAGTCTTAACGAGAGAACAACGCAAAGATCTTCATCACGTGCAGCAAATCCGAAAAGACTAGATTCTGCAACCATCACTAGTCGCCAGTCTGCCAGATCAGACAAAAGGGAAACGAGGATCATGAACAACACTCCAAGAAGTAGTGTAACAAGAAAAAACTCTATAGCTTAGACTATTATTGGCCCATGTCTACAATAAACGAATTGGTTAACAAGAAATTGTCGAAAGTGCGTTTGATCCGACATTGTGATATTGATCTGAAGATAGAAATATGCAATTGTCATAATAATCATTGTCTCGTCACGCTCGAGAATATTGCATCACCGTTTCATGATCCTTAAATATTTGAGTCACGGCAAATATTTAATAATCGCTTGACTCCTATGACAAAAACTTAACAAGATTCATATTAATTACAATCATGCGGTTTAGACGAGTCTGTCCATCAAGAAGGATGCAGCCACATATATTGGGAACTTCACATTGACAACTTTGACCATGTTTAGTCTCATTGGCCCCCGCGCCTCAATATAGTAAACATCACAAAAATCGGCTTGTGTATATATTAAGTATCATTCAGTGAATTACTGAATTCAAAATTAATAGTCACCCTTCAGCAGATTATAAACTTCAGGGACATAAATGGTGACATGTCCGGGGTCCGCACTCGGAAGGGCGGATGGACCCTCATTAAGCCTAGAATATGAGCCGCATCACGACAAAACCAACAGAATAGGTTTGCGACCAGCATGGATCCAGACCAGCCTGCCCATCCGCGCAGTCTGATCAGGATCCATGCTGTTCGCTATCAGTTTCTCTACTTGTAATTGAGTTTGTAAGCGAACAGCATGGATCCTTATCAGACTGTGTGGATGCGCAGGCTGGTCTGGATCCATGCTGGTCGCAAACCCATTATGTTGGTTTTGTCCTGGCACGGCTCATATTGTGTAGTTATATTGGGGAAAAAACAAGATGCTTACACATGTTCTTGTTAATTTGTTTATTATTCGTTAGATTTGATACAAACACTGAGTGTAACTGTTATTACAAATAGACATATCATCTAGGAATGTGTTCTATTGTGTTACAATGATTTCATACTTACACTGATAATACAAAAAAGTAAAATTATGCATCTTAAACAATACATTTGAAATATCAATATATATTTATTTTTTATATATTTTTTTATTTCACTTTTTCAATTAAATTATGATTTATCAGTTACAAAAGAATATGAATATAGTTTATATCGTTGGGCAGACATTGACAGGGTATAATAACAATATTAAAGAAAAGCACTTGCATAAAAAAACTTGTCAGTTGTAATCAAATAGTAGGAAAAGGAATACACAAAACTTGTTCAATAAATATATAAAACTTTGTAACTTAAGTGATTCCACATATAGAAATACAATACTCTATCTCACAGTCTGTGTTCCAGAATTCCAGTCCTATAGTAATAATCTTACCAATGGTTACAGACATTTTTTCTCTGTTTCCTACTTAAATGGACATTTCCATGGTCTGTGATATTCTTATCAAACCCCATAGTTACTGACATTTTTCCCATGTTAAATGGACATTTCCATGGTTTTTTGGTAATCTTCTCAAACACCATGGTTAATGCCATTTTTCCCATGGGTTAAAGGAATAGTTAACATAAATTCATTTTCCATGGTTTTCTACTAAGTCATAACTATTAGTTTTAAATTTTTACCACGGATTTATATGTAATATAAATCCGTGTTTTAACAGATAAAAAGAATTCAATAGATAAACATAACAAAAATAATAGAAATTAATTACTGGCACAAACAGAAAATATAATAAATATTACAACACGGATATATAAGAGTAAAATAAAATAATAGTATATTGCATTAGTAGATTAAAAACACAGAATAAATATGTTTATTAAATATATTACACTATGAATATTTAACTTTAATATTTATCACAAAATCTGCCCATTTATTCACTTATCTTTATTCCCAAAAACTTCTTTGATAAGCATTAAATAAAAGCATATTGTCTTTTATAAAAGCATATTGTCTTTTATTTAAGCATTCCAAAAATTCTTATCGTGGACAGATTCCAATAAATTGTTAATCATAGCTAAATTTAACAATTTTGTAAAAAAAATTCTAGAAGACAGTAAAATTGATGTTTTTCTTCACATTGATAAAACTTAACTAGTTAAGTAATGGCAAAAGCTAATCAGCTAAACATGTTCTATGTGCTCCTTTCTATAGTAAATCTCAATATATAACTTGAGGGGTTTATAAAAACCTTCTCCATCTGCATTCACATAACAATTTACAAATAAATAAATGTGGAAAAAAAAAGACGTTAATGCAGCTTTTCTCTTTAAACACCGGCAGCTATAAGAGTATGCCATCTCGAGGCAAGTCTACATTTCCTTACAGTCTGATAAGTCTTTTTATTATAATTTGATCAATTTTATTGTTTTAATATTGAGATCGAGTAAATTATCAAAGAAAAGTTTGAAATTTAGAAACAGATAAGTCCATTATTCAATAGAATATAAGATAAAATTCCAATACTGATCATGTGTAACATATAAAACAAGTAAAACAAGGTAGCTTATTGGGAGATCTGTCCTCAAATTAATACAATACTAAAAACAAACAAGAGCGATCAGTAATCACATGTGTCGCCTCATAATGGCCAATTTCATGTTGGGACAAATTTTGTGACAGACGGACAGACAGACGGACAGTGCACAACTAGACTTGGTACTGATCAATCATGTAAAGTTTGGATGAAATTGCACCAGTAGTTTATGAGGAGTAGTCCGGACAAGCTATTGTGTATCTGGCAACACACAGAAAAAAACAACTTTTTATCAAAGGGCCATAACTTGGCCAAAAATCATTCAACCGGAAAACCCGTGCAATATGCGCAAGGACTTGAGCTACAGATCAATCCTGTAAAGTTTCATTGAAATTGCATTAGTGGTATAAGAGAAGTAGTCCGGACAAACTTTAAAATTAAAAATTATTAAAGGGCCATAACTCTGACAAAAATCATTGAACCGGAAAATGCTGACAATATGCACAACTAGACTTGATACTGATCATTCCTGTAAAGTTTGGATGAAATTGAACCAGTAGTTTATGAGGGGTAGTCCGGACAAGTTTTGTGACGGACGGACGGACAGACAGACAGACAGACGACGGAGAAGTGATCCCTATATGTCGCCACTACTCCGTAGAGGCGACACAAAAAGGCTTAAAAATAGTTAAGTCACAGTAAAACTAAAAATAGATATGAGCCATGTCACGACAAAACCAACATAGTGGGTTTGCGACCAGCATGGATCCAGACCAGCCTGTGCTTCCGCGCAGTCTGATCAGGATCCATGCTGTTCGCTATCAGTTTCTCAACTTGTAATAGTGTTGGTAAGCGAACAGCATGGATCCTGATCAGACTGCGCAGGCTGGTCTGGATCAATGCTGGTCGCAAACGCACTATGTTGGTTATGTCGTGACGCGGCTCATATAATGAGACAATGACTGGAGGAGATTCATATAGTACACAGAGGGACGGAGTTTAGACTAATATTTTAAAATAAATATATACTAAACTACAATAAATAAATTAATACAAGCGCTAATCAATGATCTGAAGGGAATTAAGTAAAATACACTGCCAATTATAACAATAATAGAAAACCACTGGATTTACAGTAAGAGTAAAATAAATCATATGGATTTTTCTTTTTTGATAAAGACCACCTGTGCTAAGCAGAGGAACTTTACTTAGCAGCCAGGTTTTATGACATGTTTTTGACAAAGCAAGGCAGAAGGCCGGCAGTAAAAGCTTTATAATCAGAAAGAAAGAGAAAAAAACTTATAAATGAACCATGGTCCAATGGTAAATATTATAAATTAGACACGTGAAAAAATGTATAAATGTGTAATATAATGGTCAATGTAAAATGTGGCTGAAAGCGTGTTTCTAACACAGATGTGTACAACATATAAAAATGTGTGTAACTATCTACATGTGTAATGTATTATGCACCATAATATCATGTTGTGGTTGACTTGTACATGTAAACTAAACATGATCTTTGTCCAATTTTTATAAGCCTGACTCAGATCATCACTCATTGTCCCTCTGTTCACAGACAATATAAAACATACAAAAATATATGTATATTTATCTTCTGTAAAGTAGTCTGATTGTTTTAATTTTAATACCAGTATTCCAATCGTAAATAAACAGTAAATAAACAATACACCAGGCAAGAAGTTAGCTAACTTATTGTTCCCTGACTATTTACCCATAAGTAACCTGCAATCTGCAAATAATTGACTTTCAACATCCTTCACTAGAGGATTATAAAAACACATCAATTATAACATAAAATCAATTTTGCACAAAGAATATGTGTAATGCAAGGGACACAACTCAACTTCAAACATTAAAATTTGTTCAAATATTTCTGAAAAAAGAGACAATTTTAGTTTTTCCAAACTTATATCGTTTATAAAAACTGGACAAGACCTCAGCATAAGCAACTGTAAATGAAAACTGAAACTTTCTACAAATATTCATGAGATCCTAGAATGTCTTTGATATCTAAACTTTATATTCATAAAAGCACCCATTATTAGTAACTTCAGCTACCAGTAAAATATTGCATCAATTGTGGATAATATTTCTAAATGAAAAAACTACCTTAACAAAAAAAAGGAAAACACTTTTAACAATTTGATTCTTAACAATCCATTTTAATCCTACAAATAACTCCTACTTTATACAGTATTTTAACAGCTAGTGTTACTACCATATTACACATTTTCACCTACATGTATTAAACTTAGGAAGTTATTTAAAACATGTGGTAATATATAACTGACAAATTAAGATATTAACTTTGTCTTGTTCTTTTCTTTTATATGGGAGTCCTAGTGATTACAACATATCTAGATATGGATTTATATACATTAAACAAATAATGACACTCATTTTTAGTCGTCATTCGATAATTTCCATAAAATAATCAACTTATCATTTCTATTAGCTTGGACTTTTGAAAATAAGCCCACATATGACAGTATCTTTAACTGAATTATCAATATCTTTTCAAATTTCAATATGTAAAAAATGACTTTTAAGTCTAAAAAGTTATTTCCCTGAAACAGGAAAAACTAGATTCTGTTTATTAACAATTACGTATTTCTGTATGTATATTAGATTCAATATCAGAATCCAGTAGCAATGAAAGTAGTTTTGAAAGGTACATGTATATAACAGACTATAGAGAACATACAAGTATTCATTTGCTTGTTTTACCGGTACATAATTTCTTATAATATCTTTAGAGTATTGCAAAAATATATATTTCAAAAATTTAACAGCAATCATTTATAGAATTATAAACAAATTAAGCGCAATGATAAAGTGATTAAACTAATTAACTGCTATCTATAGGAGGGCCTCAGTGTCCTGTAAATTTCTATGCTGTTTAAAATGGCTGCCTGGAAGGGCCTCTACATCATCATATACTGTTATTTACTAGCTTGGGGTCTCTAGAAGGGCCTCTACACAAGCAGTATAACAAAACGAGTACTGATCCTGAAATAAAAAGAAGAAATTAATTCTTTATGTTGTAGCACTCAAAAAGCAGGAAACTTCATCTCTTATCTGTATGAAGGACATCAGCTTCATATGAAATACTGACATCAAATTTTAGTCTGAGAAAGAAGTGTATCATTACTTTTTATACTATTTGAGCCGCGTCAAGACAAAACCAACATAGTGCGTTTGCGACCAGCATGGATCCAAACCAGCCTGCGGGTCCGCGCAGTCTGATCAGGATCCATGCTGTTCATTATCAGTTTCTCTACTTGTTATAGGGTTTGTAAGCGAACAGCATGGATCCTGATCAGACTGCGCCGATGCGCAGGCTGGTCTGGGTCCATGCTGGTCGCAAACGCTCTATGTTGGTTTTGTCATGACGCGGCTCATTTGTTTGTTTGTTTGTTCTCTAGTAAATAACCTCCAGCTTCTATAAATAAAACATAAGACGAAAGTGTAGTAAATCATTTTTGTCCCGTGCTTTATGTTCAGTGTTATAAAGAAAATTTCCAAGGTCAAACTCAGATCTCAAGTATTTTGATTGATCAAGAACCAGCATACAACGTGCACTGATCAATGAAAATACCCAGATCTGAGACAGTTCTTAGCAAAAACGTTTTATAACCTCAAGCTAGGGTCATGAAATGATTCTATACTTCATAAAAGTGGCATGTCCAGGCAGGCTGGGAGAAATAAATACACAAAGATATACAACCAGTATTGTTAAGCTTACCCTAGTTTGGATCATGCCTTGCCTCTGTCTCCGTAATTCTTGAACTATCTCAAACAGGTCAAACTGTAAACAAACAACAGTATTCAAAGCTCCACAATAAAAAGTCATTTTACAGCCAGTCTTAGAACAGTAGATTAGTATTAAAGAAAACAGAATCAGACTCAAACATGTGATAAAAAGTAGATTTTACATCTGACTCCTTTGTACCTACACATTGTAGATAAAGTATTATTGTTAAACTACACAAAATTGCTATATAGAAATCAATAAGGGGGCCTGCATGATGATAATAACACTAATTACACACCATAAAACAAAGAACCTCCTAGTATTTTCTAAAAGTTTGTTTCTCATTATACAATATACCCCGGTATGAGGGAACATTATATTGTATCTTGGTAAACAAATCTAAAATGCCAAACCAGATTTAAACCCAAAGCAGTAAGGGCCATGCCATTCTTTCTTTTTAAAAAGAAATGGCCATAGAGATCCTGTCTGGATTTATAACCTCTTTATACCATTATACCTAATATAATTTTATACCTATACAAGAAACATGGCAATGCCATGAAACCAGGTTTTCAATTATCACCATTGTAGATAAATATGTTGTATTTGAAATACAAATACAAGCAACAAACAATGTAACTATGTGCAATGTAAAACATGAATAATGTAGGAGGAATTGCCACAGAGGAAGTGTTCACTATAATTATATTCTGTATAAGGAAACTAGAACTCCGCGAGTCGGATGTGTCGCCTTGTGAACAATGTAGTTTAGGAGAAATGGCCAGGACAAAAATGAAATATGAAAAATAACAAAGGGCAATAACTAAAAAAATAATAAGTGCAGAGCAGCAGTTTCTGTGCACTGCACTTCTTATCAATAAGATCTATCATTCTATGATGTTTCAAGTCCATAGCTTTCATACTTGAGGAGAAATGACAAGGACAAAATTAAAGTATGAAAATAAACAAAGGGCAGTAACTCAAAAAATAATAAATGCAGAGTACCTGTTCTTGTGCACTGCACTTCTTCTTAATGAGACCTATCATCCTATGAAGTTTCAAGTCCATGGCTTTTATACATTAGGAGAAATGGCCCGGACAAAAATAAAGTATGAAAATTAACAAAGGGCAATAACTCAAAAATTAGGAAGTGCAGAGTACCTGTTCTTGTGCACTGCACTTCTTCTTAATGAGATCTATCATCCTATGAAGTTTCAAGTCCATAGCTTTTTTAGTTGAAGAGAAATGGCCCGGACAAAATTAAAGTATGATAAACAGGATTTTCAATGTTAATGTCACTGTGACCTTGACCTTGGAGCCAGCCATGCGGAACATGCGTTCTGCACGTCATCTTGATGTGGTAAACATTTGTCTGAAGTTTCATCAAAATTCTTCAAAGGGTTGAAGAGTTACAGAGCGGACAGGATTTTCAATGTTAATGTCACTGTGACCTTGACCTTGGAGCCAGCCATGCGGAACATGCGTTCTGCACGTCATCTTGATGTGGTAAACATTTGTCTGAAGTTTCATCAAAATTCTTCAAAGGGTTGAAGAGTTACAGAGCGGACAGGATTTTCAATGTTAATGTCACTGTGACCTTGACCTTGGAGCCAGCCATGCGGAACATGCGTTCTGCACGTCATCTTGATGTGGTAAACATTTGTCTGAAGTTTCATCAAAATTCTTCAAAGGGTTGAAGAGTTACAGAGCGGACACAATTTCGTTTGACGCCCGCCCATCCGCCCATCCGCCCATCCGCCCGTCATACCCCAATCTAATAACCAGGATTTTCAAAATTGAAAACCTGGTTAATAAGGTCTATCTTAAATGACCAATCTATCTGTGTATGATATTTACCTTCAGTCCACGTTCTATGTGTGCCAACGCCACATCTATAGCAATAAATGTCCCTGACCTTCCTATACCAGCACTGCAGTGTACAACTATTGGTCCAGTTGTTCTATATAGATGACTCAATCTCATACACTGAAAATATATGTCACAAAAATTTCTTTTTTGTTGGTTTCTTAAGGCACAGAAACACTCTCCAACTTCAATGGTGGAGGCAGACTTCTTGTATGTTTTTTAAGCACAAATGGTTACCTGAGTGGTTACCTGAGAAAAGTCAGCGATCTTCAGTGATGTATCTAATAAAACATACACTAAACAGAGAGGTGTCTGCTTTTCAAGCAAGGGATTGGGGGTTCAAGCCCTGCTCAGGCACAAACATTTATTTTATCATGTTGAACAAAACTTCTTTACTTTTTCCATAGTAGGGTCCTAGCTTTTAAAAGAACACACAGGAACGCTAAATTTGTAATATTCTTACATAAACAGAAAAACGACAACTAGAAGAGAATACTTTGGCTTTTATTTATGTGTTTCACAGATGTTTCTTCAAAACAGTAACAACAAACCGGTCATGATGTAAAATCACGTCCTTTTGCAGATTTCCAGAAAATCTATTTTTAGGAAAAAGCAGTGTATATAAGCTGATACTGACCTGTTATTTTTTTACAAAAAGTAACTTCTTAGTTAATCTGCAAAAGGTATTTCAAGCTATTTATAGATTATATAATATAGTTATAACTACCTGTAGTAAAGGTACAGCTGAAGTTGGAGTACCGTGGTCAGGCCAGGTGGTATAATTAAGATGGTATAAACATCGACTTTCTCCTGTCTCCGTATTTTCTATCAAGATGTTCCTGATGTCAAAATTGTCCAAGCTGTTTTGATACAGTAAACTTAAACGTAATTGTCTGAAAATTAAAACATATGAAAAAATGAGTCTGCATCAAAATTTTGCTTGTTTGTTTTCTTTGGTTTTATGTCGCACCAACACAATTCAGGTCATATAGCGCCAAAACAGGAGAGATGAAGGTAAAGTAAAGGGTTCAGTATCTAAAGTAAGGTTACAGATAAGGAAGTTCACAATATATATTTCTTTTCAAACATCATGCAAATATATATAATGCTACATGAGCACATCAGCTTGGTTCCTTAGACAATAACTTCATATGACACTCATTGGTCATCAGTTGTCTGTCTTTCATCAAGTGTGCTCCAGTTTAAATACTGGCAAGCAAAAACCAACAAAAGTAGGAACAGCAAGCAGTGTCAAATAAACAGGCAAATATTGCATCAGTAATACAAATGCATCCGCGCAGTCTAATCAGGATCCATGCTGTTCGCTTACCAGACCCTATAACAAGTAGAGAAACTGGTAGCGAACAGCATGGATCCTGATCAGACTGCGCGGATGCACAGGCTGGTCTGGATCCATGCTGGTCGCAAACGCACTATGTTGGTTTTGTCTTGACACGGCTCATATTATGTTAAGCATTGCTTGGTGGTAAATGAGATGGAAATTAAGTTTGAAAAAAAAACCTTCATGTTAAAATTATTTTAACTTTTTATCCACATTTTACAAATAAATTTCACACATACACCATGTGTAAATGAGTTAAACTTCATAAAGCAGTATCAAACATACCTGATGTATAAAACAATTCTTTTTAAATAGTAAGTTTGGCACTTTTTAAAATAATTTTTAGCCTTCAAATCAAATACTTCACTCAAGCATATATTGCAAAATATTAAGTTATGTTACTATTCATAAACTAATGAACACACAACAAGTTATAGGAGGGAACAAAAAAAATGAATTTAAAAAGGTAAACTACAAACTTATCAAAATTACACTAAGAAAAACAAATGGTAACATAACTTTAAAGAAATGTACAGTAATTTCAATAATTTAAAACTTTTATCAAATCAAAGCAGAATTTTACTATAAATGCACATCACAGCAAATATTTACCCTTTACAAGCTTCAATAGGTATATCTACAGAGTCGGGCCAATATCTGTGACATTTGACCTTCATGGCTTCCATATCCAAGGTCAACATGACAATGACCGTGACCTCTGTCTGCCAGACCATGTTCCAGAAGTCATCTGTGGTCTCGGGCAGAGGTCCCTGGCCTACAATGTAGTCACAGATAGCACTTCCTACATCAGCACTTCCTACATCAACCCTAACATGACTGGCATTGATATAGTCAGTGTCAGCATCATCTGATAGCCTAACTCTGTTAGCGTCATCTGAAAATCAGGATTTATATTTCACAGTACACATCCAATAAAGAAACAAAAGCATTTTAAAAGTTTTCTATCAAAAACAATCATATTACAAAAGATGACCTAGATAAATACACCACCTTAGATTTTACATGTAAAGAGACAAAAATATACCATTTGATCAGAAATAATGAATTTAATCCACTGTGTTCAAGTGAAATGTAGATTTGGCAAATGTAACTGAACCAAACTTTAAAATCTTACTTCAGATATAAAACTCCCTTTCTCTAACAACTTACATGGTAGAACATTTCTAAATCTATTTTTCAGTCTGTTGTTGGACAGAGTGGCTGTATTACAATCATCAGTAAGTGGCACATTTCTTAATTGTTTAAACTCCTCCTGGGGGTCTTCAATCTCTATCTTCTCTTGCATATCTGATATAATGTTTGGTACGGATGATTTCATTGGTTCTGGAATGGTCACAAGGGATAGGTTGAATAACCAATCAACTGTTACTTCATCTGGCACGGTAAGGTCTAAAGTTCTTAATGAATTGCACCAGTATTTATCACTGTCATCTTCACATATCACATTGGAACCAGTATTAGAGAGTCTTTTTTCTCCCTCATTGTTACACTGTTCAGATTTTGATTCAGTTTCACTTTCATGAACATTTTCTTTACCATTTTCCTCCTCTGATTCTATAAAAACTTTATCGTGGTGAAGATCAATTACTTCAGCTGCTGAGAGAAATTTATGAGCATCTTTAGCTGTTTCTTTATCTATACCATCCGTGTCACTCACTTCTGATTCTGTAAATGTGTCTATATCAGCATCTCTTAATATTTGTTCAGCTTGAGCCACTAAATCATCTACATTGTCATCTACTATATCACTTGGAACATGTTTTGTTATTGATAAACTTGTGTTATTTAAGTCAGATGTTTCACTTTCACTTTCAAAAACATCATCGTCCTTTCCTAAAACAGATTTGACCTCCTTTTCTGAAGTTTCTAACTCTTTCTGCTGTTCTGAGTTTGACCTTGACATTCCACTAACACTTCTAGGTTGGTTCTCGGTTTTATCTGAATCCAACCAAGTTGGCTTCCTGCCCTTATTCCTGCAATTCAACAAACACAATGTAAGGCATTAACATACAGCACACAATCAAAAATACAAATCTATATGAAATGTTGATGTTGCATCAAAGCATATGTGTTTTAAAGGAAACTATGATTTCCTTTCACTCCGAGATTGATATTTGATGAATTCAGTTAATTGTTCATATACAATCTCACATAATGAAAGCTGTAAGCTCACTTACATTACTATTAAATCACCTGCTAAATTTACTATTGCAGGTGTCAAATCAGGTTGTGTTCCTTGTAACACTCTCAGTTATATAACAAATACCTTAACCATAAAATGATTATACCTTAAGAAAATTTTGCAGGTATCAAATTTATGGCCACCTTAGATAAATTTCAACTATAGCATCTGACTTGGAGATACTTAACCTGCTTCAATTGAAATTTATCATCTGTTGCCACCTGTATGGAGTGAAGCCAGCATGCACAACCATGCTGACTGACCAGGCTTTATACTGCAATTTTTGTATTTTGTTATCAAAATCCCTTAAACTTTCAATGGACTGTTCCAAATTCCAATCAGGTCAAATCCATTATGTAAATTTAGCAGGTTCAGGGTTAAATTAATTTAAAGGTTAAATTAAGGTTAATTTTTTTTTCTGGTTTTATATTTTATGCCCATTTTAACACATTTTTGAATAATATCTTGTCAGCTGATCCACCCATCAGGATTTCCTGCAAAGCTAACCAGTAATTACCAATTTCTCCACTACTAATTACCAATTTCTCCACCAGTAATTACCAATTTCTCCACAAGTTTACCATTTTTTCCACAAGTGACCGACTCTTGACACGGAAATGTGTTTACATACCTGGAGACAGTTAAAGAAAGTTTCCCTTGAGAACTTCTCAAGATTGCTGCAGCTTTGTTGTGGTTCAATCCAATCAAGGATTCACCATTAATCTGTGATGAAAATCAATATAACAATTACTATGTACTGATTGCGTTTTCGGATAAATTATTTACCCCGTGATGCCGAAGTGGTCAACTTCTTTCTAGCTTTAACTGGTGACTTATTAAACAGTTATCAGTTGTTCTGGTTTAGATATCAAGCAGTGGCTTGCTGCATATTCTGAAATTAAAATATCGACAATGTTAACCATACATGCGGCGTAAACACATTAGGTACAAGTTTGTGTGGCTAAAGATTTTATGTTACATTATTCAATGCACAGACAGAAACTATGCGTTCTGTCTCCAAATTTTTTTGAATTCAGTTAAATCATTCAACTCACATTAAGTGAATTTACTTTTTTTCATGTAAAAATTTATTTGCAGCTGTGTTCATTTTCTAGTAACTTTCTCAGTTTACACTTTTGTTTATTAAATATTGTTATGCTATATCTAGCAAGTTGATGTGACAACCTTGGATTATTTATGAAAACTACAATTTTACACCAACAAATAAGTACCAATAACTTAGGCTGTTTTTGCGCAAATGTTGGTTTGTGATTAAGCCTTTTTGTAAAACTTTGGTAGGAATTTTGTTTCGATTTTTATAAAGAATACTAATTCCTATCCATTCCTTTCCATTATTCATTGTAAGTTATAAGCATAAATAAGAAGATTATACCCAACATAAAATACATGATTTTAAGGATAGCCATATATGCATATATTTATTATTTAAACCTCAAAAAAATCTTTTCAATGGACTGCTTCAAGTTTACATTTAAAACTTGAAAAGTTTACACTATGTTTGTTTAAAATTGTTCAAATATCAATGTGATTCTAGTTCAATATTGGCGAAGATAAAATCTTTGCCAATCATAAATTGAAAGTTTTAATTGTCTTATCTTTTTTATTTGGTTCTAAGTTACATTGACACGATAATGGTCATACGATGACTTTTTCAGTTACTGGTGGAGGTGGACCTCTAGTGACCCTCCTTGCATTATTTTAGGAACAAGCAGGCACCTAAATAAGAGCTACGATAGGTTTTACTGCTAAAGTCGGTGCTAGGGGGGCATGGACAGTAGCTTGAAACTTTCCAGTACTGTCCATGAACAGGCTCAATCAAACCGAGCCAGCAACATTTTCAATTTTGCCCATTTTGGACTTTCTTATGGGATTCTATTTCTGTCTATCTTAATATAATTTTGTAGATACATGTATACTTACTTGTAGGATTTTATCTCCTATTTGTAACCTGCCATCATTTTCGGCAACACCTCCTGGTGTTATGGTACGTATAAATACACCAGTCTGGTTCTGTGTTTCCGCGGTTACCAGACTGATACCAAGTCCTCCACTCTCAGGCTTTTCTAAGTCTATCTGATACACTGATAGCTGAAATAAAAGTTGATATAGACTGATTTTAGTTTTATATTTGGTTTAATGCTTACCAAAGAAGAGTTCTTACCAATAAAGAGGTTACATAAAACAGACAAAAACATAATCCCTAAAGAATGCCTGAAAGGACAAAATTGAAAATGTTGCAGACTCAGTTTGATTGAGCCTGTTCATGGATAGTATTGGAAAGTGCAAGTTACCATCCAAGTGAAAGTAACCAAAAAATGTTTTTTTGTTAAAAGATTAATTCTTACTACCACAATTTTTTTTAAGATAACAGTTGATGAAGGAATGCACTTTTGAGAAATCGTAGGTAACTAAGATTGAAAGAGAATAGAAGAAACATACAGAGGGATCAAAGGATCAAAGGACAACCACAGTATTATATACTTACAGGAGAAAAGAAAAACATTGGTTATGAAATAATCTACAGATTAAGACAAAAAAAGCTATGAAACTACAAAACAGCAAACTATAACATGACAAATCAATACCTCGCCTGAGTTGGTGGACTTCTGTAATTTTGGACTCTCTGCCTCTTTCTGAGATTTATCTTTCCAAAAATTTTCTTTTGACTTCCCTTCTTCATTTCTAAGATTCTCTGAAATTCTTGTTTGTTCCAGAGATTCCTCTAACGAGGTAATGAGGTCTTGGAGGGGACCACAACCATCCCCATCTGTGACAGAGTCCGTTACATCATCATCATCAGAATCGCTATTCTCATGGTCTGTATGTTTGTCAACATTTTCAGTTCCTTCCTGTAATACATCATTAAGCTATTTCATATTTTAAAATCTTAAATTTCGAACTGAAACAAAGGATAATAAATGTAACTAAATGCTCATTTCAGAAAAATCAAAACTATAAAAGCAACATGGCTTAGTACAGATATTTAATATTCAATACAACAATACACTTGTAGCAACAATCATTACAAGAAATGAATATGATAAATACAGATATTTGTAAAAAAAAATTATTATCTCTTTTATTATTAGGTGAGTGAACAGATGTAACCATAGCAATAAATATTTAGTGACTTGAAGTAAGCTTAGATTTTCTTACTAATACATGTATTTAAGTTCTTTAAACAAGCTAGTGCATAGTGAAATCTAACAAATATAGCAAAATTGACATTTAAGTGACATTTCACCATCAATACTGGAAAATTTTAATATATTGTGTAGGATATTAATTTGGCAGTCAAGTTTTATGGACATGCCTTCAAAAGGTGCATGAGGTCAACAGATGACACTGAGTTGTGTGAGGTTCTCAACTTTTCTGATGGACTAAAACCTTTTAGCACCAGAAACCCAAAGCAAATTAAAAATTTGGTGCACTACCAAACTGTGGAAAAACATATATGAGCCACGTCATGACAAAACCAACGTAATGGGTTTGCGACCAGCATGGATCCAGACCAGCCTGCTCATCCGCGCAGTCTGATCAGGATCAATGCTGTTCGCTATCACTTTCTCTACTTGTTATAGGGTTTGTAAGCGAACAGCATTGATCCTGATCCGACTGCGCGGATGCACATGCTGGTCTGGATCCATGCTGGTCGCAAATGCATTACGTTGGTTTTGTCGTGACGCAGCTCATATCTACAAACGACAAAGATACTCACATGTTGTAAACTCCTCTTCTCTTCATCAGTGAGGCCCTGACTGTAGGAAGATATTTCCACACTAGCTTCTCCAGTGTCACCTACAGTTGACTGTTCCCGAGACACCCTTATCGTGACCTCATCCTCGGCCTCACGTAACACTGATACAGCCTCGAAATGATTCAGCGGCCGCATATCAATACCATTGACCTTTCAATTAGCAAATACACAAGTTCTTTTATAATGTTTAAACAATTATAGGTAAAATATCAAATCTAATTTACCATACAACTATGTGCTAAAAAAAATAGTCTGACAAGTCTTTGCTAAATGGAAAATAATGAAATAAATGAATTAGTTTAAAGGCACTTCTAATAACACACTTAATATTTGTCTATAGATTATTACAAAGTCAAAGTCAACACTTGAAATTATTAGTACATTTAGTAACAGTTTTTATTCAGATTCCAAGTCCCAATTTAGTGATAATTTTGTATGTTAATAAGGAGATTGTCAGAAAGATATGGTTTTGGATTACTTTTCATTATTTATAGGAAAGTCACTAGAATAGAACCAAGAAGTTTTCTACATGCTAGCTTGATTATTTCATTTAAATATGCCAGTTAACCATTTTGTAAAACAAAGAAAAAAGTGAAAACGTTATTGAGTCAATGATCTTTACTGTATCTAGGGACCACTGTACCAACTTTATAATAATCTCTTCTTTTCATAATGTTATATCAAATGCCGTCAGTACATATATAGGCAACTGCTACAGAAGAGTTTGCCTTTTATATTTTTGGAGGACAGTGTACAGGTTCAGAGACTTTAACATTCCAGAAATGACCTCAAGGGCTTCAGCATGCTTGGTAAATAGCAGTAATATGAATGACCTTGGATTATCCATTTTTTTTCAATTTTAGGATAATTGATTTTTTTTAGATTTTTTTTGGAAGCAGAACTGGGTGAAATTTGCATCTTCTAAGAATTTATGAGAGTGCTATGATGGACATTTCATATCATGAAATATAAACAAAATTCAAACATAAATCATGGAATGACAAACTATGAAAGTATATGAGACACTAACTGATAAACAAGCAATGTTCATTGTATCTAACTTTGTTATTGTAATTAACAAAAAAGAAAGAATGTGTGTTTAAACAAACCATGATAAGTCTATCTCCAGATTTTAAAGTGCCATCAGAGAGCGCTGGGCTCTGTAACACTGCTTTAATATAACAACCCCCTGTGGTCTTAGCACCTCCTGCCACAGTAAATCCAAGACCTCGACCTTCAGGCTTGGTCAAGGTCACTTCCAATTCCTAACAGAAAGATTAACAATTCAGTCATGCAAAAAGCTCATTAAGATAACTAGAAGTGGAAGTGCTATAAACAGTGAGTTTTATGCTCTTGTTGGATTGTAAGTGCGTAAGAAATAAAATATTCTATAAATAAGCTTCTATAATTGTGTTAAAGTTAATGTCTCACATAAGAAATGTCTACGACTATTGTGTCTTTCTGTTAATATAATAAAAATAAACTATAAATTCAATATTTTTTTTTCAAAATGTGAGTTCTATATTTTTTATATTCAGGTATTGTATTCTAAAATATTCTATATTTCTATTCCAGAGATCCCAAAATCTGACTACATACCAACATTTCTAAGAGGAAAAGAAGCATTATTTTAAAAATATGAAAAGACTAATGAGTGCAATAAGTAAACAAAACAAACATTTTCCAAGTTTTGTTAAAGGAACTTCACTGAGGTCCAAAAGCCTAAAAACAAAAAATTTGATTTTAATAAAATAAAATAAATTGAAAATCATATTTTTGGGCTATTCTTAGCCCGGCTCGACTACAAGCCTGAAAAGTGTTGTCTCAGTTTTTTCACAGAATAATTATACTGGAAAAACAAGTTTTCACAATTAGAATAATTATTCTGGAAAAACAGAGTGAGCGAATGATCTGAAATTTTGCACACAAGCTATTGGTCTATACCTATATCAAAAGAAACGCAAATCTTACAGTCCTCATTGCAGTCCCTATAACATTCAATGTTACAAAATTTAACGAATCAAAAATGGCATGTGTTACCTACCCCAGGCTTTAGGGGCTTTGACTCAATAGTCGGTGAGGGAGATTCCCTCACTGAAGAATGGTCCGAAACAGATTCCTCTTCCTTATCAACATCATCTTCCACTACATCATCCACATCATTATGATCATCTTTATTCATACTCTCTATCTTAACTTCACCTTCATCCTTGAAATTAATAATCTCATCATCATCATCTTCTTCTTCACCTTCTTCTTCACCGTTGTTTTCAATTCCCTCTGGATCTATTTCATTCTCTTGTTCATTCAGTTCAGATTCATCATCTCTTTCATTAGCATAATCATTGTTAACTTCATTATTTTCAACATTCACTTCTTGATCACTCACATCATCATTGTTTGTATCATCATCAGAATAATCATCCTCATCATCATCAGTATCATCAACTTCATCATAATCATTATCAAGTTCTTCATATTTCTTTTCTAATTCTCTAACATCTTCATCAACATCACTGTGTTCATCACCATTATTTTCATGCACAATTTTACCATTATTTTCATCAATATTTACTATAAATTTACTATAATTTAAACTTTCCTCACTATGTACAACATTTACTATGTCATGTGTATGTACATTAGCACCATCTGGATCATCTTTAACACAATCATCTAAATTTCTATTGTTTTGCTCTACATTGTAAGTATTAGTTAGACTGGTACCTATTTCCAGTGAAACTTGAGCAGACTGTGTACCTTCTCCCTTAAGGGAATTGGTGCCCAGTCTGTCTTCTACAATAAATGAGGTAGATATGTCTGTTTTAGATAAAGAACCACTATCAGTTTCTGAAAAAACTTCAGGTTGACTATTTTGGGACTGTAAAGTATTTTCTAAACTATCTATTCCATCTAATTTTTCGATCAATAAATCTGGCACAGAAGTCTCTGGACCTGACTGGAAGCTTTCCTCTGAAAAATGTCTTGAGGAATTTAAATCCACCTGTTCAATATCAGTTTCTTCATCTTGAACAGGAGTAATGTCTCCTGCAACATCAACACATGGAGTTGCCTCCCTTGATGAATACTGCACAACAGGGGTTACATCCCTTGAATTCACAGTAACTGCAGAATCTTCCCTTACTATCAAACTACCATTAAGCGTTGCTTGAGAAGCATTCACTTTTTTGGCATTGTGAATTAGCACCATTTCCTGGTTACAACTATCCATGAGCTCCGCCACTCCCACTTGAACTTCGATCTCATTTTGTCCATTGTCATAATTTCCTGAACTTAGCAAAGTGGGTGGGGGACTGACTGGCAGCGGAGGTGGGGGACTGGCAATCTTTGGCATTATGTTTCCATCTTCATCTTTTGGATAGGGTGATAAAGCAAACCCGGTGGGTGGGGTAATGAGAGCTTCACGTCTAGGTGTTACATCAATTTCACTATCTGTATCACTTTCAGTATCAGTTACATTTGCTGTGCTACCTGTTGGTGTAATTTCTAGAGATGATTCACTTTCCTGAAAGAGCAAAATATTTTTCATGTCAAATGGACAGCTTCACCATGAAAGAAATGCTATTACCTAATATTTTTATATAAAAGAAATGCAATTGTCTCATATTTTTATATAAAAGAAATGCTATTGCCTCATATTTCTATATAAAAGAAATGTTATTGCATCATATTTCTATATAAGAAATGCTATCGCCTCAAATTTTTATATAAAAGAAATGCAATCGCATCAAATTTTTATATAAAAATATGCCATTGCCTCATATTATCATATAAAAGAAATGCTATTGCTTTTATGTTTTTATACAAAAGAAATACTATTGCCTCATATTTTTTTTATATAAACAGTAATCCAGATAAAAACGAATATTGATTGTTATTTCTAGAACGCAATAAAATTGTAATGGTTCTTGCTGCAAAGGAGATTATTTCAGATTTCTTTTTTTTATACCGGGACAAAATCATCTCTGGGATGCCTCCATGACAGTCACCTGTTTTCTGGGACAATCCTGGATATCTAGTCCGGGACAATCCTGGAGATTCGGGACATAATGGTATGTATGAATACATGAGAAAACTGTGAAAACAGAAATACAATATAAGTGGACACATACCAGCTGGAATAAGGGGGGTATCTTATCTGGGTCAGGTTGACACATAAGTAGTTGAACATTTTTACCAGCACCTCTAAGCCTCGACATCGTCTCCTACAAAAATAGCATCATCTTATTCTTAAAGTCAAAGAGGGAAAAGACACATTATGCCCAATTAAAAGTAAATTTTATATTTATGTTATATTAAAATCTGTTAGTATAAAAGCAGATTTACACAGTCAATTGTAAATAGTTATTTTTTCCTACAATGTAAAACTGCTCTTTGTATATTCCCTCTAATGTAAGTACCCATGTATATAAATCAAAACTTAAGAATATTAGCTAAGCAAATAAAGGAAGCACTAAATTGTTAATAATTAGCTACTTTTGTACAATACTAGTAAATAGAAAAAAAACTGCCAAGTAGTGTCATGTTATGTCACAAAATCATGATAGACTGTCCCACGGGTGGCTTTTTAAAAGGTTAATTTGTAGTTATTATATAATTGAAACTATGTAATGTTTAATTAAAATAATTCAAGGCTGCAATACAAAACTTTAATATTTACTACATATTGTTTTGTGATAACCTGTATTATAGTATTTACTTGTTTTAACTTTTAATACATACTACTGTGAATTAACTTAATTTTGTGGGCATGAAATTCATGGTTTTGTCACAAAGAACATTTTCATGTGTTCTTAACTTTAAGGACTGGTGTTGTTTTTTCCCCAAAAGGTAGCTTGTAAGCAATTTGATGCAAAATAATCTTACAGCAGAAGAAATGAAATTGCGTTGGATCTTTAATCCATGGACTGACTTATCAACAAAAACCATGAAAATAAGTTCCCCGCAAATAATAATGATTTTGCAGTATATACTTACTGTATGACTGAGACCGGCTACAGATTGGCCGTTCACGGCCAGAATTACGTCACCAGAATGTATAACTTTACTATCGGCAGCCGGACCGATAGGGAACACACGTTTTATTCTAACAACCCGTTCCTCAAGCTGAGCGTGATCATCTTGATGACCTCCTACTGTACTAAACCCAAGTCCATAAATACCTTTAACCAGGTCTACTGCATAAGTGTTCTCTAAAGAACAATAAAAAATGTAAGTAAACAAAACCCATAACCACATGTTCTAAATATAAGAATTTCCTACATTTTAAATACAAGTTACATAATACTTCCAATTGGACTAATGAGAAACTTTTTACGAACTTGCTTTCCTGGATAACTTATAAACTAACCAGTAATTACCAATTTCACTGCAAGTGGTGTTTGGAAGACAAATTAAACTGACAGTAACTAGAAATGTGTCATCATGCCACGGATGCCCCCGCATGCAGCCAAAATTTCAAATGTTATAATATTTAGTTCCAAATTTGTTTGCACAAATTATTTTTTTCATTCTAAGTTCAAAGCCCTTAAAACTTTTCAATGTTAACACAAACCATTTTTATACAATGTTCAAGGCACTGAAATTATTCAGTCTTAACCTTTTAAAAATAGCATATTGCATATTTGTAGCCAACATATTAATGGCTATATACATTTCCACAAAAGTATGAGAGCTGAAACTGAAAGTTCAAAATTTTTCCAACATTCAGGAAAGATAAGTTTGTCTAAAATCATTGAACTACGACCAAATTCAAACTTAAACTGCTTATTCCTAAGATGTATCTATATTATTTTCAAAGTGAAAGGGACATAACTCTGCCAAAAAATCATCGAACCATGACCAAATTCCAACTTGACCGGCACATTCCTTTGACATATCCATATGTCAATTTTGAGTTGAATATGTAACACTGTTGGGTTGATAATGAACAGAAACTGTAAATTTCATATCATTTTCAAAGTGAAAGGGGCATTACTCTGCCAAAAATCATCGAACCATGACCAGATTCGAACTTGGTCTGCGCATTCCAAAAACATATCCATATGTCAAATTTGAGTTGAATGTGTAATATTGTTGGGGAGATAATAAAACGGAAACTGAAAATTTCATATTATTTTTAAAGTGAAAGGGGCATAACTCTGCCAAAAATCATCGAACCATGACCAAATTTGAAATTGACCTGCGCATTCCTTTGACGTATTAATATGTCAAATTTGAGTTGAATGTGTTGTACCGTTGGGGAGATAATAAACAGAAACTGAAAATTTCATATTATTTTCAAAGTAAAAGGGGCATAACTCTGCCAAAAATCATCGAACCATGACCAAATTTGAACTTGACCTGCGCATTCCTTTGACGTATTGATATGTCAAGTTTGAGCTAAATGTGTTGTACGATTGGGGAGATAATGAACGGAAACTGAAAATTTCATATTATTTTCAAAGTGAAGGGCATAACTCTGCAAAAAATCATTGAACCATGACCAAATTTAAACTTGACCTGCGCATTCCTTTGACGTATCCATATGTCAAGTTTGAGTTGAATGTGTTGTACCATTGGGGAGTTAATGAACGGAAACTGAAAATTTCATATTATTTTCAAAGTAAAAGGGGCATAACTCTGCCAAAAATCATCGAACCATGACCAAATTTGAACTTGACCTGTATTTTCTCATGACATATCAATATGTCAAGTTTGAGTTGAATGTGTTGTACCGTTGGGGAGATAATGAACGGAAACTGAAAATTTCATATTATTTTCAAAGTAAAAGGGGCATAACTCTGCCAAAAATCATCGAACCATGACCAATTTCGAACTTGACCTGTATTTTCTCATGACATATCAATATGTCAATTTTGAATTGAATGTTTTGAACCGTTTGGGAGATAATGAACGGAAACTGAAAATTTCATATTATTTTCAATGTAAAAGGGGCACAACTCTGCCAAAAATCATCGAACCATGACCAATTTCGAACTTGACCTGTATTTTGTCATGACATATCCATATGTCAAATTTGAGTTCAATATGTGCAAGGGTTATTAAGATAATGAACGGAAACTGATGATGACAGAATGACGGAAGGAAGGAATGACGGAATGACGGAACAGGGTAACACTATATGCCCCTGCCATTATATGGCGGGGGCATAATAAACATATATATTACCAATATTAAAACTCTCAAAGAGATTTCTCTATTTGAAATCACCAACTATATAATAAAATTCCAACTATATTATAAAATTCAAATAAAAACCGTAACAATGCAAAAAAGAATGAATAAAAAAAAAGAAAAGAAATCTATTTTTTCTCTACTACTATCAAAGAAAATTATCAACATATTGAGTCTTACCTTCAGTCACAAACAGGCTATAAATATCTTCATTCTGGTCACCGGTTTCCTGTCTCTGATTTGTCTGATCCACACTATCACTTGGGGAACCAGATAATCTATTTTTAGAGACTGCTGACCTATTGCTGCTGCTGGATGATGAATTCCGTGACCTTGGTAACCTCTGCACAAGCAGCTTACAGAATGGCGGAGCTTTACAGAGAGATTCCACAGCTTCCCTGTGAGTGAATCCATTCAAGCTCATACCATCTACTTCAAGAATTCTGTCACCTATATTGATAAAAAAATAGCTTATAATGTACAAGGAATAATTTATCAACCTAAAAGAAACCAATCAATTTAATCAATATTTTTCAATCAATAATTAATCAATTATCAAATCAATGAATCTTCAAAAACAACTCTAAACATAAAGAAAGAAAGCACTTAGTGTTATATGCCATCTTTATATTGTAAACAAGAAAACCTATACAATTAACTTTTTTCTTTCTTTATGTCAAGCTTTCAATACATAACAATCCACTTGAAATGGGAGAAAGTTTGACAAAGAATTCATAAAATTAGGAAGCCAACAAGTATTGGCTCAGGTAAGACTGTTCAAATATTCAGTTTACCTTAATCCTGCTTAAACCAAAAATGATAAGCCTTTGCCTCCAGTACAGAGCTAAGGCAAGTATCTGTGTAGCCTGATCATGCTATATTGGTCACTAAGGTTTTGTATTTTAATACTCAAATCTCCCTAAACTTAAAATGGACTGCTCCATTTTCAAAACAGGGCAAAATCCAATAAACAAATTCAGCAGGTTAAATACTAAGCTGGTATGACCCTACACTGATGTCAAAGGTCAATAATTATTGCTTCCAGTAATGATGTGGTACTGTTTTTACCTTTTTTAATATTTTCATCAAGATCAGCAGCACTGCCAGGTACGATAGACTTTACATAAATACCACCATGTCTAACACATGTGTTTACACCTCCCTGTAAACATACACATACAAAATATAATCAAACTTCAGTTTCTGTTTATACAATTTAAGAACAAAGCAGAAATTATGACAACAATAGTTTTGTATAACATTTATTTATTTACTAGTACTTTGTTAGCAATACGGTGAAATCTTTACAGTTCACCGAGTCTGACCATAACTAAAGAGCACAGACACAAACATACAATACACAGGATAAGGTAAAATTTTAACAGCTGTTGAAAAGTGTTTGGCCTTTGCCACCAATTTAGAGCCAGGTCAACCTGCATATGTAATCTTACCTGGCACTATACTGATAGATGACTACTCTAGTTTAAAATTTTTATCTTTATATCCTTAAAATTGAAATTGACACAAAAATACATGTATGTGTACACATCTTACGATTAAAATGCTTGAATATTGTATTATAATACATGTAGTTACTTACTGTTACATTTAATCCAAATGACCCTTGTTGTTTCTCAAGAAACACCTCAAATGTTATAGATTCCTCTTCTTCTGAACCTATTCTCTGCACTCTGGAAGTATAAATGTCAAATTTAAATTGTGGTAGAAGGTAAGGTTGGTAATATATCTGTCCATATTTGTCCATACATATATTCAATCTCTTTACTACAGCAGTTCATGAACATATTTAATATTGATAGTTTTTGTAGTTTACCCTAAAGATCACAGTTGTAAGCCACTTTGAATTCATATGAGCATAGTGCAGCCACAGTATGATACACATATTTAATATGAGCCGCGTCACGACAAAACCAACATCCGCGCAGTCTAATCAGGATCCATGCTGTTAAGCGAACAGCATGGATCCTGATCAGACTGCATGGATGCCCAGGCTGGTCTGGATCCATGCTGGTCGCAAACACACTATGTTGGTTTTGTCGTGACGCGGCTCAAATAAGTTTACCATAATGGTAAGTAGTTCAAGAACAAACTAAAATTCTGTTTACCATATTAGTTAATGTAGCATTTCTGAAGCATTTAGTAACTACAATATTCATTTACTTAACTGTAGTGAATTGCTTTATAGAGGTCACTTTTTATACATACGAAATCGCTTCCAATAGTTTTCATGAGCATCAATTCAACTAAATATAAAGCCATAAAACCACATATTTGTGGAATTGAAAACAAGTTCACTCGAGTAAAGTATAACTATATAATCACACAGAAAGTTTCCTTTATGAAACATAAATATAACATTACAATAAAACCATAAGTCTGCCCAAGGTAAAGTATACAGTATATCAGTTGTATCAGCAATTAATATCCTGTATCACTTACAGACAGCTGACAAGTAGTTTCTTATCATACTTTCATTTACTATCACGCTTCTTAAATATAGACAATACCTGGAAAAGATATGTACAGAGTAACATCTGCCTAATGAAGCAGAATTACTCAATGAAGCAAAAAAAACCATCTATACAACAAAAGTATCAATTCCTACAAAGCTAGCTGGATGGCTTCCTCGTATGAAAGATCCAAAGTCACCAGGAGTCAATCCCAGAGCAATGAGGGGCAAGTGGCTTGAAGTGGCAGACCGTAACCACTTAACCACATAACCACAGACATGCCCAGATAAAAAATATAAATCTAGAAAGGGTGTACCAGCTGTCATGTGCATCTCCAAAACATAAATGTTAACTTCTCCTTTAAAGGTTTATAAATGCATGTATGGTAATACCTTGCAGGACTTTGTGACTTGTTTTTCTGCGGTGATTTGTATGTATTTTCTATGACGTTTTCTATAACCTCGTCAAACTCAGAGTCTGTGTCAGATTCATTAACTGCCTCTGTATTATCATCTATAAATCAGAAAATATAAATAATTTCTTGCATATCTACTGTTTACACAGGTGCTAGAAAAACCTGTCTTACACCCCCTATGTAAGACAAGTTGCATGCTTTAAATGACGTATTTTCTGCGCGCCTTTCATTAATGAATTGCATTCTTAGGATGATATCATTTTACTGTTATGAATGAAGTTGTAAGTTCATACGCTGCTGTAAGAAAAAAGTGCATAATGAGAATATCAGTTTTTGTAATTTCTGTTCTAAAAAATAATTGATATGCAAGATAAAGAATCAAAAACCAGCTGTTGGTACAGATGGGAATTTCTTGCATCTCAGTCGGGATTATCTACTGTTTACACTGGTGCTAGAAAATCTTGTCTTTAACCCCCCCCCCCACCCCTATGTAAGACAAGTCCAAGCTTTAAATGATGTCACTGCCCCACTGTTTATGAATGAATTGCGTTCTAAGGATGAAGTCATTTTACAGTTATGAATGAAGTTTGTAAGTTTATACGCTACTATAAGAAAAAGGTGCGTAATGAAAATGTCAGTTTTCGTAATTTCTGTTCTGAAAATAATTGACATTTAATATGCAAGGAAAAGAATCAAACATTGGCTGTCAGTACAGACCGGAATATCTAGCTCTCGAGTAACTATTTAGAGAAAACTCAACAGAGCCTCGTTACTGCCTTAAACAGTTACCTTGAGCTAGATATTCCGGTCTGTACCGGCAGCCAGTATAAGCTTATAGGATACCATAACAATTTCTCTAAATAAATCTAGACTTTGTAAGTTACCTCCATTTGAATAAATGTAAAACATTTATTTGATACAATAATGATATCTTTATTAATACTCATGGATTTGTTTTGAATTTATATACGTGTACATTGTATTGGTATTAACAAGAAAATACAATAATACATGGTACACCTTTTCTCTACATTACATTTTATTCTTAAGGTTCTGTATTTTGTTTAAAGTGACATTGTGCCCATTCAAGTGTACATGGCAAGTGCTAAGGCAAGTCAAAATTTTATTTTTCAAAAATAATCAATAATCCACATGGCCCATAGTTTATTGCCTGGAATGTATCTTTTTAAAAAGAGTGGAGCAGTCTTTTTATAAGTTAGGTAGTTTATATATTTTATCCTAAACATTTTTCAGTATCAATTTTTGGTCAGTCACCACTATAATAGTCAAGCTCTTGAAATATATTACTATTTTCAACAAAACTTGACAGCGAAAAAATGAGCATAATGTCACTTTAATGAAATGTATTTTTTTTAAAGTTTTAACTTTTTAAGAATGTTTTCTTTTCAGACATCTCATCAAACTGTTGCTGTGATCATATTTTTAGAAATGAAAAATTGAGGGGAAGAAAAGGAGAATTAATTCTATAATTATTTGTATAAATAATTGAAATCTTACCATCCTGTAGATCAGCAGGTAGCTCTGAGACCGCCATCTCTGTATACAGTGAATCTACCTGGGAAAACGTGGAATGTACATCAATTGTTGCTGAAGGCGCTCTATCCTGGTCCATTCTTTCAGTATTATCTACATCTTCTCTACCTATTTCAACATTTTTTTCACGTTTTTTACAATTTTCAGAATTTTTATTGTTTACTTTTTCAGTGTTTTCTTGGTTATGTACAGATGTACAATTACGGACGGTAATTACACGAGGGGAGGAACTTTCATCAGCGCTATGATCTAATGAACTATGTTCTTCGTCACTTTCTGTGTCGATTTCAGTTTCTCGCCTTTTTAAAGATCCGGGCGGTTTTATCTGAGAAATCAATAATTTTACAGTATCCGGAGATTCTTTGATCATGGTCACAGCCTCATGATGCTGTAAACCTTCTAAACTTTGATCATTTATGGCGATTAGACGATCACCTGGTTTAATGCGGCCATCTTTAAATGCTGGTCCATCAACTGTGACTGATTTTACAAATATTCCAAAGTCATGTTTACTTGATATGTCGCCACCTACAATTGTGATTCCTATACCAACTGTAGGCTGTTTATCGAGGGAAACTTCAAATACTTCCCGCTCACAAATACTAACTTCGGGAGACAGTAGTTCATTTGTAAAGCGCTGATGAAGAGTATCTGAAAACAAAAATTGTTCTTCCTTGAAATTAATGTTTCACATACAGGAAAAATATATCTCTCAACTTATTTTATTTCCTTCAACATTTTGAGAGGTAAAACCCCACATTTATAAGGAGCAAGATGTCAAACCATAAATGAATCACACGGTTTCATTTACAATTGAAAAGAAAGTGTTGTATCCAATATTTACTAGGAAAAACCACTCTTTCAAAACCACTAAAGTATTATATTTTTTAAGTTTATGACAAGTATGTCAAGAAATTTCCACGAAATTTCTAAGTTTATTAAAAGTATTCAATGAAAATATTACAAAGTATTCTTAAATTGATATAATACAAGTACTTACTACTAATTGTTTCGTTTGCTGAATGAGGAAACAAAGTCTGATCCATGGATCGGGTACTTGTGTCTAAATAAAAGAATAATTTAAATTATACCATAGAATCATATGAAACTAAGGAAATATAAGATATTCAATTATCATAAAACCATGCCAAGTAAAAATTTGATACCTTATATAAACTAACATAGAATTTTATATTTATTTAGAGGAAGTTATATTGAATTTGATGCACAAGCCATATATTATTTATTCATGCTATTTATCACACACCCGTGCTTAAAATGCGACTCCCTAAACAAGGTATAGCACGGCTGTGCATATATTTTAATGTGACATAATTTGCGTTACAATATAGCGTAAAGATGCACTAAATGTTAGCATTACACTATAGGCGTGCCAATGAAAAATTATTCTTTTTCACTTTAAACAGTCTTTATTTTGGGTATGTGATAAATAAAATATTATATTCGTGTAGCTTCATTACTAATTTTATTGAACTCGTTGAATAAAATTATATCAGACACACCAGAGGCTAGCATGATATAATTTTTATTGAACTTGTTCAATAAATTTAGTATTGAACCTACTCCTTTAATATCCTCTATATAGTATTTAGTATTGATACAAAGTTCCATGCATAGAAATTAATTCAAACTTTATTCACATGTTAATATAATGAACAATTTCTTCATAACCATCATGATGCAAGTCATGCTCAGCAAAAGAGCATGGTTCTTCTTTAAACATTTTAATCTCATGCTCTTTCTACAACGATATTTCCTTCAACATACAATATTAAAATGTAACCAAATACTTACAACTCATTGTAATATGTATAATATACAGGTATTTTTAATATTTACACACCTAAATACATAATCAATTGATTCACTCATTTGTAATAACAAATAATTTATTCTACTTAATAAAATGTTTCCTCTAAACTTTGCATGAATAAATGCTATAAAAAAGACAAGATTTTACTCACTTTACTTTATTTTTCTCTATTTTTACTTATAAAGATAAATTATAAATTATAAACAAGAGCCATGTCAACATGGCCATCCCCCGCCGAATGTGTTTGCTCATTGGAAGAATGTATATGTAGTAGAGCAGAATAATTCCATTTTAAGAGGTCTTTTGGTAATGAAAACTGATGGCTTTAGTGATTACAGATTTGAAACCTATGTGAATACTGATGGCTGAAAATAACAAAGGGCAATAACTGAAAAATAATGCAGGGTAGATTATCATGCTTGTGTGCTGCATCCCTCCTCAGTAAAATCTATCCACCTATGAAGTTTCAAGTTGATACCTCAAATACTTTTTGAGAAAAAAATTGAATTGAAAAATTAAGTATGAAAAATAACAAAGGGCAATAACTCAAAAATTATAAAAGGTAGAGTTATCATTCTTGTGCACTGCACACCTCCTGAGTTAGATCTATGCACCTATGAAGTTTCATAATGATATCTCAAAGGCTTTTTGAGTTATGCTCTGGACAAAAATTAATTTTGAAAAATAACAAAGGGCAATAACTCAAAAATAATGCAGGGTAGAGTTATCATTCTTGTGCACTGCACTCCTCCTCAATGAGGTCTATCCACCTATGAAGTTTCAAGTTGATACCTCAAATACTTTTTGAGATAAGCTCTGGACAAAATAGCATGAAAAAGAACAAAGGGCAATAACTCAAAAATTGTATAGGGAAGGGTTATCATTCTTGGGCACAACATTCCTCCTCAATAAGATCTATCCACCTATGACATTTCATGTTGATATCTCAAACACTTTTTGAGTTATGCTCCACTAAGGTGAAAAATTAAGTATGAAAAATAACAAAGGGCAATAACTCAAAAATTATGAAAGGTAGAGTTATCATTCTTGTGCACTGCACACCTCCTGAGTGAGATCTATGCACCTATGAAGTTTCATGTTGATATCTCATAGGCTTTTGGAGTTATGCTCTGGACAAAAATCAATTTTGAAAAATAACAAAGGGCAATAACTAAAAAATTATGCAGGGTAGAGTTATCATTCTTGTGCACTGCACTCCTCCTCAATGAGGTCTATCCACCTATGGAGTTTCAATTTGATAACTCAAATACTTTTAGAGATATGCTCCAGACAAAAATGTCGGACGGAAGGTCGGATGGACGGAGACTATTTCGGCGGGGGATAATAATAAATTGACTTCCTGCCTTCATATTAATATAATCATAATTGTAAGTGTATGCAATATTCAATGTCAATGTCAAAATTCATTTATTTCAATTTTGTAGACCAGTCTATGGCCCTGTAATCTAATTGGCTGAATTCAACCTCAGACTGGTACAAAATTTTCTATTTTATCATATTAAAGTTTATGTTCCTCAAGAAACATTATTCACCCTTACCCTGCTGTAACCAAAATTTATAAGCCTTTGTGACCAGTACAGAGCCAGACCAGCTTGCAGGTGAGTCCAGTCCGACATGGCTCTATACTTGTGGTAGCTAATTTTATGTGTTTTAATACTTAACTCCCTTAGACCTTGAATGGACTGTTCCAAATTCAAAACAGGACAAATCTATTATAGAAATTCAGCTGGTTAAGGGTTAATTAATATTACATTAAAATATGCATGCAAACCTATAACATAAGCCATGGCTGGCTGGACACTCTCTGCATGAATATCTTCCTCAGAGACTGGTTCCGACTCATGAATAGCTGGATTAACTCCTGGCTGGTACCCGACCTCATCAATGTGACTTGTTGTAGCACTGCGGGGCACATGCTGTACTGGTACCATGTTATCATGTGTATTAACGGGGAATTCAATCATGCTGGCACTCATATCGGGCCTATATGGAGGCGGGCTGAACAAAACATGCAATATTCATACATTATAATAAATTACATGCAATAATATACAAATGTGTATATGATTAAATTCAAAAGGTAAAAGTAATTAAAAACCCTATTAAAATACATAATGTCATCATGCACTTATAAATATCAAGATTTTAAATTTAATACAAAGAATGAAAGTTTGTGGCTAACCACAAGTTTCAGTTTGATTCACACTCATTTTTCCAACTATGGTCATATAATATCAATGTTTCCTGTAAACAATCACTTTCTATTTGTTATGCAAATAACCAATGACAAATCTAGTAAGAAATAAGTTTCTGTGTAAAAAAAGTCATCCAAAAAAGACTACTAGTATAATTATAGTATTTATAAGATAATTTCAACCTTTAACCCGATAAATTTTTGTAATGGACTAGTCCATCTTTCATTTTTGAAACTGTCTATTATCAATTTTTAGGGACATCAGGATGAAAATTTTGATTTTATCAGCCAAATGTATTGTACAAGGTCCGGCTGCACCGAAGTGCAGGCTGGCCTGGACCTATACTGGTGACAAATGCTAGTCATTTTCGGTCTCAGCAAGAGTAAAGATCAAATATTATTTGTTTAAGCTTGTTTGTGAAGAAAGCTTGTAGCATATTTTATTTTATTTTATTTGAGTCATTTTCGTGGAACTAATTATGGTATTATAATTATCAAGAAACATGGTCGTAACTCTGTAAGTAACCCCAGTAGGGCTCAAATTCACAATCCACACGTTGAAAGGCAAGCATTTTAACCACTATGCCAGCACTCCCCATGTCTGAGGACAACACTCAAATCATACTGGTATTTGCATAACATTTTATTGACAAGGTCATACATTATTTTAGGATTTATATAATTTACAAATGTCTTTCTTTCTTTTTTAACCCAATTTTATAAAAAATCTTGATTCACTCTACAAGTTTTTTTTTTATTTTTTTATTTTTATTATTAATATTTATTTAATTAGTTAATTTCTTTTAAGCATCAACTCATAATTCATTATGTTATCATTTGAAAACCTCTTGTGAAGACTCTTACAAAATATATTATTGTAAACTAATATAAAATTAAACTTATTTCAAGTTGTTAAGGATAAACTGTAAAATATATGATATACCTTTTATTGCAGCAGCACTTAGTGAAAACTTTAATATATCCAAACATTAAATAAATCCTAACCACTTATCAAACATTTAACTAAAAGTGAAAAGATAATGCATTGCACGGTATCAATGAAACAGGAAGCACACATGAAATAACTCGAGGATGAGTGTACGGTTAAATAATTGATAATTTATCATATTCACCATCAATAACCAGTTTGTCAGTACGATTAAATCATATAAAATATCAATGAACACAAACAACTATTATTATATCCTCAGGGCAGGAGACTTGTCATGTAACCGGAGCTAAAGGGAGGTAATGTGAGAATTTGAAATGTTTACCAATAAAATACTGATGTATTGTGTACTGGGTTAAATAATTAACCAATCTGAAGATAATGATCTATTGACATCTTAATTACACAGTTTATAAGTACTTAAAGCAATTTATTCTATGTACAGTGGGATGGCGAACAATACATCATCTATAAATATCAGCTTTACACTGTAACAATAAAGCTTGTCTAGAAATTTGAGATTTTCTCCCATGTTTAAATAACCATTAAACATGAATCAGTATTACAAGTATAGTAAGTACTTTAGTACCAGTACTAGTACTTGCCAACTTCAACAGCAAAATCATCAAAACCCCCAAAAAATTTTTTTTAAAAAACACAAACAATTTGCTAAAAAAACACCTTATAGGGAAGAAAACAAGAGCCACCGCCGGGCGGTGGCAACGCTCGACTTTTTACTTTTTCTAAACGCAAACATAGAAAGGTTTGAACATATCTTAACGTTTCCTTTTTATAAATTTAGTTGGTCTGTCTTGTCACATTAGTTTTGTTTATATATTTTGTATATATATATGAATAGAAACATTACGCAATTTCTAAAAATAGAAACAATGACGCAAGTTCTAAAAATTGAAACAATGACGCAATTTCTAAAAGTAGAAACAATGACGCAATTTCTAAAAATAGCAACAATGACGCAATTTCTAAAAATAGAAACAATGACGCAATTTCTAAAAATAGAAACAATGACGCAATTTCTAAAAATAGCACCAATGATGCAATTTCTAAAAATAGAAACAATGACGCAATTTCTATAAATAGCAACAATGACGCAATTCCTTATAATAGAAACAATGACGCAATTTCTAAAAATAGCACCAATGACGCAATTTCTAAAAATAGCAACAATGACGCAAATTCTATATATAGCAATAATGACGCAATTTCTAAAAATAGAAACAATGACGCAATTTCTTAAAATAGCAACAATGACGCAATTTCTAAAAATAGAAACAATGACGCAATTTCTTAAAATAGAAACAATGACGCAATTTCTAAAAATAGAAACAATGACGCAATTTCTAAAAATAGCACCAATGACCCAATTTCTAAAAATAGAAACAATGACGCAATTTCTATAAATAGCAACAATGACGCAATTCCTAAAAATAGAAACAATGACACAATTTCTAAAAATAGCACCAATGACGCAATTTCTAAAAATAGCAAGAATGACGCAATTTCTAAAAATAGAAACAATGACGCAATTCTATAAATAGAAACAATGACGCAATCTTCTTGTTGTTGTTGTTGTTGTAAATATATATATATACACACACACACACACACACCAATAAATATATAATTATGGTCATTTAATGCACAAATCTGAGAAAATTCAGTAATTTAACATTCAAGGTCAAGGTCATTAAAGAGCCCAAGCAAATTTGGGTTTGATAAACAACGAGGTCTGGTCCTTAAGAATGTTCTGTTATAATATGAAGTTGATCCCTTCAATAATAGCAAAGTTACAGTCAGTTACCGCCAAAACAATGAAAATTTCAATAATTTGACCTTCAAAGACAATGTCATTAATGAGTGACGGTCAAGGTCTTTCGGTATATTTTTAACAGTTATCTTTGAAGATTATTATGTTCAAGTTTCAAGACAATCCATTCAAAAATAACAAAGTTACAGCCAATAATAGCCAAAAAAATGAAAATTTCAATAATTTGACCTTCAAAGTCAAGGTCATTTATGAGTGAAGGTCAAGGTCTGGCGGGTTTTTTTTAAGGGATATCCTTGAAAATTATTATGTTCAAGTTTGAAGACAATCCATTCAAAAATAACAAAGTTACAGCCAATAACAGCATGAACAAGCAAAAATTGGACTTTTAACCTTGAAGGTCAAGGTCATTTATGGATGAAGGTCAAGGTTAGTGTGGTCTACTGAAAGGTCTTGTCCCAAGGGTTGTTGTGGCCAAGTATGAAGACAATACACCAAGAAATAAAAAAGTTATGATCCAGGTACAAGTTTGGGGACGGGAACGGCAACGGCAACAGCAACGCCGACCTGACTATAACAATACCTCTACTTTTTTTTTCAAAAAAAAAAAGTCGAGCTAAAAATGATAATTTCTACAATCAAATACAAATAAATCTAAAAAAGACATAATTATCCGACCTAATTTATAGCTAACATGTGGCCTTTCTTAGCAGGTATATTTATAAGCATACAGCTTATACATGTATAAACCAAAAATTTGGTAATAATATATTTATCCTATGCTATTTTTTTTATCAATTCCATACTTATACAACAATGTAATTCAATTATTATATAGCATTCATTTTATAGTTTTGTAATACAGGCAGTTAAATAGGTAATAATGCAAGATGCTTCTTATTAGTAAATACTGTAAGACATATGTGGTATATCACAGGCACAAATCTAAAACTTTCCATAACCAGCCATAACATCAACAGTTCTAAGAAATACTAGTACATGTAATATAATCAACAACAGGAAAATACAATACACTATTATATTAGCTTTGTAATAAAAGAGGTTATTTCCTTTTCTCCAAGGTCAAATATGCAAAAAGTTGAATCCAAATGAAACATGCAGGCATGCTGATTATTATCATTATAGAAAACATAATGTAGTAAGTTTCTACTGTCAGAATACCAAGTGACACCTCTATCATTTTTCCAAACTGACTGTAAGAATAGTATAGTAAAAACTGTCAATCTTTAATAACAAAATAACCTTAAGTAGAAAGTAAAGATAATTGCTCATGCAAGCTTTATACTATATCCTTTAGCAATCACCTCTCTTAACCCTTTCCCCCATGAGCATATTGTTAAAAATGGCCGTTTTCACTGAAAAGCCTCCTGTTACAAGTTCAAACTGCTATGAAACTACGAAAAATGCTTCAATACTAATCAAACTTGGCACAAATGTTGACTGGACCATTGCCTTTGTAAAGACATGCTCAGTCTTAAATTTCCTGTTACCATGGCAACGAGGGGACATCTCAAAATTGCCAAAAATCACTATTTTGCCTCGATTTTTTCCATCAAAATTTATTTCAAAGTGCTGCAACTGCTCAAGGGATTGAGATAGAGTCAAAGGCTTTTCAGCGTTGGTTAAACATTACATTATGATTGACCTGGGGTCATTTTTAGCCTCTCACAAGTCCAAAATTTTCTTGGCGATGAGGGGGACTCCGCCCCCCTTCAAACCCCCCTAACAGAAGGGGGCACATCCCCCTTCTGGCAACCCCCTGATGTATCTTTTGGATGGGGGGCGGCGCCGAAAAAGTGCTCAATTTTTTTAGCAACATTTCTCAAACGAAAACTTATGTTTTGGGCCCAAATAGGACATTTTTTCACTATTTGAGGCCTAAAAAGGGGGGGGGGGGGCGTCGAAAGTGCGTTGTTTCGCGTATATATGTGGTAAAGGGTTAAGTAACCAGTCTAATCCAAACATAAACTAGAAATGTGTCCAGACAGCACAGATGTCCAAACATTCAACAGATTTGTCAGACTAGGGGCAAACTGACAGTGTAACAGCAGGACAACCTGACAGGGTAAAATCTATATCCCCACCCCCTTCTTGGGGCCTTAAAAAACTGAACTCTACTACATACTTTCCACCTTTATAAAGCAGCCTTATCTACCACCACCCTTAAAATGTACAGATAGGTTAGATTTTCTAAAATAAAAATTATCTGTATTAACATAAGGTTATACATACTTCCTATAGGCAGCTGGGTGTTTTTGAGGGATGTGGTCCGTAGCATTAAATCCTGATGCTTCCATTTCTACATCCTGTTTTTTAAAGAAGAAAAAATACATTGTTACATAAATGTACATAAATTACTGAAAGAAGATGGATAGCCTATATATTGTGTTGCAAGGGATTTAATTGTATCTAGCTACATTGTGCAAAATGAAACACCTTAATGTACATGTATGTTTCTTATTACTATGAAGCATATTCTATTAGCACCATTAGAACTATTTGGTTAAAAACAGATAAAAACTACAAGCACAAAATGTTTTTTTCAATACCAACTCAAATTCTTAACTTTTTCATGTCAAGTCTAAATAAAAATTTAATCAATTGATTTTTTTTTTTTTTTTTTACTTGGGTTTTTCATGTCACACCAACACAGTATAGGTCATTTGGCGACGTTCCAGCTTTACTGGTGGAGGAAGACCTCAGGTGCCCCTCTGTGCATTTTTTTTCAGGCACGAATGGGCACCTGAGTAGAACCACTGACATTCCATAAGCTAGCTGGATAGCTTCCTCACATGAAAGAATCCAAAGTCCCTGTTGGGATTCGAACCCACAGCAGTGAGGGGCAAGTGGTTTGAAGTCAACGACCTTAACCACTCGGCCACGGATGCCCCCCAATCAAATGATGTACAGACTAAGATAAACTTAGAGAACAAAGTGTTCTAGTGTTGCAATAAATCATCAACATATGGAATCAACTCACTTGAGGTTGTTGTGAATAATCGTTCACCTATTTCAGCAATATGTGGCCAGTCATGTGTGCAGTTTCACAAAAAAATGTGTTGATCAGTGCTTTTTTTAATATAGAATTACTGTATATAAATTAACAACAGTTCATAACAAATTCTGCACGGGTTAATCTATTACACAAATTCTGCTGTCCGAATAAGCCTCAAACTTGCACAGCAATAAGCTTTCAGTAAGTTGTAGATGGTGTGTTATAAAATTATTACCTGTAAAGTTGCACTATCACGGTCTCCTGTCAGAGTTTGTTCATCTTCTGAATGAACACTTCCTGTATCTGTTATATCCTCTGTATCTCCTATACTCATATGTTCCTCATGACTCAAATCTGTAAAATAAACATATCTCCTATACTCATATGTTCCTCATGGCTCAAATCTGTAAAATAAACATATCTCCTATACTCATATGTTCCTCATGGCTCAAATCTGTAAAATAAACATATCGCCTATACTCATATCTTCCTTATGACTCAAATCTGTAAAATAAACATATCTCCTATACTCATATGTTCCTCATGACTCAAATCTGTAAAATAAACATATCTCCTATACTCATATGTTCCTCATGACTCAAATCTGTAAAATAAACATATCTCCTATACTCATATGTTCCTCATGGCTCAAATCTGTAAATTAAACATATCCCCTATACTCATATGTTCCTCATGACTCAAATCTGTAAATTAAACATATCTCCTATACTCATTTGTTCCTCATGACTCAAATCTGTAAAATAAACATATCTCCTATACTCATGTTCCTCATGACTCAAATCTGTAAAATAAACATATCTCCTATACTCATATGTTCCTCATGACTCAAATCTGTAAATAAACATATTTCCTATACTCATATGTTCCTCATGGCTCAAATCTGTAAAATAAACATATCTCCTATACTCATATGTTCCTCATGACTCAAATCTGTAAATTAAACTTATCTCCTATACTCATATGTTCCTTATGACTCAAATCTGTAAATTAAACATATCTCCTATACTCATTTGTTCCTCATGACTCAAATCTGTAAATTAAACATATCTCCTATACTCATATGTTCCTCATGACTCAATCTGTAAAATAAACATATCTCCTATACTCATATGTTCCTCATGACTCAAATCTGTAAAATAAACATATCTCCTATACTCATATGTTCCTCATGACTCAAATCTGTAAAATAAACATATCTCCTATACTCATATGTTCCTCATGACTCAAATCTGTAAAATAAACATATCTCCTATACTCATATGTTCCTCATGACTAAAATAAACATATCTCCTATACTCATATGTTCCTCATGGCTCAAATCTGTAAAATAAACACATCCCCTATACTCATTTGTTCCTCATGACTAAAATAAACATATCTCCTATACTTATATGTTCCTCATGACTCAAATCTGTAAATTAAACTTATCTCCTATACTCATATGTTCCTCATGACTCAAATCTGTAAAATAAACATATCTCCTATACTCATATGTTCCTCATGACTCAAATCTGTAAAATAAACATATCTCCTATACTCATTTGTTCCTCATGACTAAAATAAACATATCTCCTATACTCATATGTTCCTCATGGCTCAAATCTGTAAAATAAACACATCCCCTATACTCATTTGTTCCTCATGACTAAAATAAACACATCTCCTATACTCATAATTATGTTCCTCATGTCTCAAATCTGTAAAATAAACATATCTCCTATACTCATATGTTCCTCATGACTAAAATAAACATATCTCCTATACTCATATGTTCCTCATTACTAAAATAAACACATCTCCTATACTCATATGTTCCTCATGTCTCAAATCTGTAAAATAAACATATCTGCTATACTCATATATTCCTCATGACTAAAATCTGTAAAATAAACATATCTCCTATACTCATATGTTCCTCATTACTAAAATAAACATATCTCCTATACTCATAATTATGTTCCTCATGTCTCAAATCTGTAAAATAAATTTATAATAATAAAATTTGACAGTAAAACCTGTGAATAAAGGCCATCCAAAGGAGAGACGAAGCATGACCTTTATAGACAATAGGTCTTTATTTGGAGGTTACTATGTTTTATTTAATCAATGGAGGGCTATTGAAGAGTGGCCTTTAATTACAGGGTCATCTGTATTCAAAGGTGGTCTTTAACACATGTTTAACTGTACTAAATGTGTACTATAATCAGCCTCTAGATTACTACCTGAATTTATCAAATAAATGAAGAAATCTATAAAATATTCAGTATTGTAACTAGACTGGGAGAAATTTTGTCAACAAAAGAGAAAAAGAGAAGAAAAAAACAACATTGCCACACATACCTGTTACACCATCATGAGCTGCCAGTCTTGTCCTGATTTTCAGCTGGAAACTGTGCTGTGCTGTACAGAACTTCAACAGGTACTGGCCTCTGTAATAGCCAAAACAAAAAGGATTTAAGTTACAAGTTCACTTCCGTTTTTCTCTGGTTCTATTCAGAAGGATAAGCTGGGTAGACTTCATTTGGTTGAGTTCGTAAATGAAAGACAATGAAAAAGTACAACATTTTCAACTCCCCCTAGCACCAGCTTGAGCGGTATTCAATTTTCAATACTTAAAAGCGCTGGAATCAACGATTCCTGAGTTTACTCACAAGGAAGAATTCATAATCTCTTTCTGGATTCAAACTAGAAACAAAAAGGAGAGAAAACTACATCATAAGTTTTTGACATGTGCTTTTTACAAAAGGAGAATAGTTTAAACTAACTTTTTATAAGAGTTGGTGTAGAAATTCATTTTAAATGGTTTCATCTGGCTGATATCAGGTCTCGGCTGTACACTGAATCTTCTCCGGTTGAATGAGATTTTCTGGATGGCCGACCATGAATACTGGTGGGCAAACATACGTTCACCATTGACATCCTCAGCCAGTGTGAGCTGATCCATATCTAACCCAACCCAGATCACTCCGCTAGTTTTCCCTTTCTTTTCCTGAAAATTAAGCAAATTGTCAAACTCATCATTATAGTGGCAAAAACCTGGAACAAATAAAACATCTAATTTTTTATTTCATTAATTGTTACCAAATTAAAAATACTTCTTCACTAACTTAAAAAACTTTTTTTAATATACAGTAAAACCTGTGAACAAGGGCCACATTAAAGAGAGACCAAACATGACCTTTATAGACAAGTGGTCTTTATTTGGAGGTTACTTTGTTCTATTTAATCAATGAAGGTTTGTTGAAGAGTGGCCATTATTTACAGGGTCATCTGTATTCAAAGGTGGTTTTAAGCACAGGTTTGTCTGTAACAATGTAGAAGAAACTCACTTTCAATTATAACACTAGGAATAATGGTGACCAGCGGTGATTGTAAATTTTTTTTATCAGTAATACTAACCTTAAGGAGTTTATAGAAGTGAATTCCATACTCGTGTAAATGTCCTTGAACAAGCTGCAATAGTAAAATGAAAACTGAATCCCATAAAACCTTACTTTTCTGTACAATGAAGACTTATTTATCTATAATTTATGGATTAAGTTCATCGTTGCATGATTTTTATATTTATCAAACCATTAAACAATATACTGTTTCATCTAATGATATTTTTTTTTACAAAATTTAAAAACTGTAAAATTATGTTGTTTTAATGATCTTATGGTATATTATGAAAAGGATTGTAACATAGGATATTTCTGTTGTGTAACACATATGAATACTGTGGTTGTATCAGTCTTATCTGCAAATAGTTGGCAATGTGTGATAGGCATTTATAATTCTCTTTTAATTAGAAAGGTCACAAAGTTGTAACATGCTTTCATTGGTCAATATTTAGTTCTTGTTTGACCATTGAGTGTCTTGTTGTTAAGTGTTGTTGTTTTTGTTTGTTTTCTTATTTTTTTTTTTACAATCTCGTCATAGTCTTGTCATCAAGAAGAAATCAGTGGATTATATTTCTTTTCAAAAATAATACACATAATCTGACAATAGACTCATAAATGTTGGTACAATATCATTATTTCATTAGGAAAGACTATGTTTCGCCTTTTACCTTGATAAATTCCATCTGTGCCTCGACTTCTGACATACCAGCCAGTTCTTTATGTGTATCTGGAGCATGATCTCTGGCGTATCCTGTACCAAGCCTTTTTAATGTTCTCTCTGAGAAGTAGTGCTCAGGTACAAAATAGTTCCTTCCCATGGTGTCCTTATTGTAGTCACCATACTCTGCCTGCAAGGCCAGGCCTGTCAGGCCAAGAGCTTTTTCCTCATCACACAAACAACGCTCCTCTAGAATATCTCGTCTTAACTGTAGATATAACTGATGTCTGGTTGTCTCATGTCTAAAAATAGAAATCATGGTGCAGGATATAAAACTGATATTACGACACATAGAATTATTCTTTCTGTTTTATATCCAGCAATATTATTATTTCTTTACTTTTAGTTTAATCATTATTTATGTTAGCTCAGTTGTGTATAGAGCTTTAAGCTTATTTGTACAACTCCGCTTGCTGGAACAAACTCGTACTGGTGCCATACAAGGAAATATTGTCATTATAGGTAGACTCGAACCAATGATTCCTGGGTTGAGAGTCAAGCACCATCCTATACTTTTATAAACATCTCAATTCAATTCTGAACTATTTCATTCTACATGTTAACTTGGATATTAATGCTGAAAACAAAATAATCAAATAACAAGAGGGCCATGATGGCCCTGAGGTCGCTCACCTGTATATAGCCCCCCCCCCCCCGGCCCAATTTTTACCCAAGGGCTTTTATTTGTTTATTTGAACAGACTTGGTAGACACCCATAAGATGTTTCATGCAAAACATCTAAGTTCTAGCTCATTAGGTTTTTTAAAAGAAGATTTTTTAAGTTTTTACTATACACATATAGTTAAAAACAATGACACCCCTTGGGCAGGGCCAGTTTTGACCCCTGGGCTTTTATTTGAACATACTTTGTAGATATTTACTTAAAGATGTTTCATGCTTAATATCTAAACTCTAGCTATTTGAGTTTTTTCAAAGAAGATTTTTAAGTTTTTGCTATACACATATAAGGAAAATCAATGACCCCCGGGGCGGGGCCAGTTTTGACCCCAGGGCTTTTATTTGAACAAACTTGGTAGACATTCACTAGAAGATGTTTCATGCCAAATATCTTAGCTCTAGCGCTTTCGGTTCTTTAAAAGAAGATTTTTTAAGTTTTACTATATGCATATAGGGAAAATCAATGACCCCCTGGGGCGGGGCCAATTTTGACCCCTGGGCTTTTATTTGAACAAACTTGGTAGACATTCACTAGAAGATGTTTCATGCCAAATATCTAAGCTCTAGCTCTTACAGTTCATTAAAAGAAGATTTTTTAAGTTTTTACTATATGCATATAGGGAAAATCAATGACCCCTGGGGCGGGGTCAATTTTGACCCCAGGGCTTTTATTTGAACATACTTGGTAGACACCCATTAGAACATGTCTCATGCTAAATATCTTAGCTCTAGCTCTTTGGGTTCTTTAAAAGAAGATTTTTTAAGTTTTTACTATATGCATATAGGGAAAATCAATGACCCCCTGGGGCGGGGCCAATTTTGACCCCAGGGCTTTTATTTGAACAAACTTGGTAGACATTCACTAGAAGATGTTTCATGCCAAATATCTAAGCTCTAGCTCTTACGTTTCTTTAAAAGAAGATTTTTAAGTTTTTACTATATGCATATAGGGCAAATCAATGACCCCCCGGGGCCGGGCCAATTTAGACCCAAGGGCTTTTATTTGAACAAACTTGGTAGACATTCACTAGAAGATGTTTCATGCCAAATATCTTAGCTCTAGCGCTTTCGGTTCTTTAAAAGAAGATTTTTTAAGTTTTACTATATGCATGTAGGTAAAATCAATGACCCCCTGGGGCGGGGCCAATTTTGACCCCAGGGCTTTTATTTGAACAAACTTGGTAGACATTCACTAGAAGATGTTTCATGCCAAATATCTAAGCTCTAGCTCTTACAGTTCATTAAAAGAAGATTTTTTAAGTTTTTACTATATGCATATAGGGAAAATCAATGACCCCCTGGGGCGGGGTCAATTTTGACCCCAGGGCTTTTATTTGAACAAACTTGGTAGACACTCACTAGAAGATGTTCCATGCCAAATATCTTAGCTCTAGCTCTTATGGTTCTTTAAAAGAAGATTTTTTAAGTTTTTACTATATGCATATAGGGAAAATCAATGACCCCCCCCCCCCCCCGGGGCGGGGCCAATTTTGACCCCAGGGCTTTTATTTGAACAAACTTGGTAGACACTCATTAGAAGATGTTTCATGCCAAATATCTAAGCTCTAGCTCTTAGGGTTGTTTAAAAGAAGATATTTAAAGATTTTTCTTTCAGTTGCCATGGCAACCAGAGTTCTGCATGGAATTAAATTCTTTGAACAATTTTTAAAGGTGACCACCAAAGGAACATTCCTGTGAAGTTTGGATGAAATTGGCTCAGTGGTTTATGAGGAGATGTCATTTAAAGCAAAAGTTTACGGACGGACGACGGACGACGGACGGACGACGGACGGACGGACGCCGGACGAAAAGCGATCACAAAAGCTCACCCTGTCACTTTGTGACAGGTGAGCTAAAAATACACTATTTTGAATGATCAATTCAACAGGTAACAAAAAGTGGATATTAAAATCTTTAAGTTTATCAAAGTCCAATACAAGCTTAATCTTACTTTAAAACAGTGAGATTGTCCACATAGAACTTCACTCTCAGGTAAACAGTGAATGTCACAGGTGCTGCCTCTCGTTTCCAGCTCTCTTTCCAGCCATCAGGCGCCACCTTGTGGAGTTTCTGCTCACCAGAGATGAAGAAATGCTCATTATCATTGACATAGGTCATCCCGAAGAAGTAGAACTCTGGTAGTTCAATATCTGTAATAACAGCTTCAAACAGCTGTTGACCTGTTGTACTCGGGTCAACCATAGCTTCCATCTTCTGACCGTTCAGTAACACTATGACTACTCGACATACCCGTCCAGGATTTTTCCGACTCTATAAATAAATATGTTTACTTTATAAATTAATTTTCATTATACTGTATTGAATTGAATCATTTACGTTATACTCAATGGCACTGAATTGAATTGAATAGAATTGAATTATAAACATATTTTCATTATATTATGAATATTGTTTATGATAAAGTTTTCGCAAAATAATATAAAAATTTGTGTTTTAAGCGTTCAGTTAAAGTCTATACATAGTTTCTAGATGTCCATTTTTAAGAGGGTTCTATCACAAGGAACTGATCAAAATTTAAAATGAAATTTCATTACAAAGTTCAGTATCTTCTGCTTAAACGCTACAATAATTTCTGCATAACTACAAATATTAAGACTCTGATACTATAGGTCATGTTATTATTAAATCTATGTGTTACCTCCCCTTGGAGAGCCAGTGGTATTCGCTGTATAGGTTTTGTTGACTTGTGTATAAATTCGGGACCATAAAAATCCTGCAAAAAATACAATACCTTAGTTATTATCTGACCTCGGTAGCATTTTCTAATCATAAAATCTAACTTTGGGATGATTCCAATTACCATCTTGTATAAACTATTTCACTTGCAATCAAAACTAAATTTGACATCAATCTTATACTACTGAGTTTAAAGACACATTTTACCTCAGAAATCAGTAATTTAATTCTTTACAAATGGTAAATATGTGTTAAACAATATTTTAATAATGTACTTAGAGCAATTTAGATGTTAAACAACTGAAGATAATAGGGCTTAACATGCAATAATGTGTCACAAAGGTTGCAAAATGTAAGCAAAATAGTATTTTGACTTCCGTACAAAATACTAAATCACTATAATTATACCAACGGCTAAAGAGCAAAAGGAGCAAAAAGATAATTCATATATATGGCCAATGAATAAATTTTTGGAAAATGTAACAAGATACCAAAAATAAAAAAGTTTTTGAAAAATAAAAGTTGATAGCATTTTTGGGGGCTTAATGGGCCTTTAATGTACATTTTACATTTCATCAAGATAAGAACAACAAAAGTACCCTTGGTTTTTGTTTGGCTGTTTGTTGAGGTGTTGGTTGTGTTTTCTTCTTGTGCTTGGTATGTGGTTGGTGGGTATCAAACTTTGGCAGCTGAGGTGGTCTGGCAGATGACAACTTCTGTAACTGCTGGATATATGGGTCACTGACATCAGCCGTAGCCCTGTGTTACACAAATATCACAAGTCTAGTTAATGAGACATACCCAAATGTTACAAAAAAATACACTATGCATGATCAAAATGACCATAAATTTCCAATTAATTATTACTTTCTAGTGTTTTAAGTCACACCAACACTGTTATGGTAAAATGGCTACTTTCTATTATTGATTTGTTTTTATGCCGCTTTCAACAAATTTTAGTGATATCTTGGTGCCTATTACTGATTTAAGAAGATCCAAAATTTCCACCAGTGCTTGTCATATCCAAGCCCATACTGGAGAAAAACCACCAACCTTTAGTAAGCCAGCTGGGCAGCTTTCTTACACATAGAGAGAATTCAAAATCTGTAGCAGTGACAGATATTTAGACAAGAGGGCCATGATGGCCCTGAGGTCGCTCACCTGTATATAGGCCCCCCCCCAACCCCCACCCCAACGTTGCAGGGCCAATTTAACCCAAGGGCTTTTATTTGCACAAACTTGGTAGACACCCATAAGAAGATGTTTCATGCTAAACATCTAAGCTCTAGCTCATTGGGCTTTTTAAAAGAAGATTTTTTTAAAGTTTTTACTATACACATATAGTTAAAAACAATGACACCCCTGGGGCCGGGCCAGGGCTTCTATTTGAACAAACTTTGTAGACACTTACTAGTAGATGTTTCATGCTTAATATCTAAACTCTAGCTATTTGGGTTTTTTCAAAGAAGATTTTAAGTTTTTGCTATACACATATAAAAAAAATCAATGACCCCCGGGGCGGGGCCAATTTTGACCCCAGGTCTTTTATTTGAACAAACTTTGTAGACACTCACTAAAAGATGTTTCATGCTTAATATCTTAACTCTAGCTATTTGGGTTTTTTCAAAGAAGATTTTTTTAAGTTTTTGCTATACACATATAAGGAAAATCAATGACCCCCCTGGGGTGCCAATTTTGACCCCAGGGCTTTTATTTGAACAAACTTGGTAGACACCTATGAGAACATGTTTGATGCTAAATATCTTAGCCATAGCTCTTTGAGTTCTTTAAAAGAAGATTTTTTAGGTTTTTACAATGTGCATATAGGGAAAATCAATGACCCCCCGGGGCGGGGCCAATTTTGACCCCAGGGCTTTTATTTGAACAAACTTGGTAGATACTTATTAGAACATGTTTCATGCTAAATATCTTAGCTCTAACTCTTTTGGTTCTTTAAAAGAAGATTTTTTAAGTTTTTACTATATGCATATAGGGAAAATCAATGACCCCCTGGGTCGGGGCCAGTTTTGACCCCAGGGCTTTTATTTGAACAAACTTGGTAGACACCCATTAGAACATGTTTGATGCTCAATATCTTAGCCATAGCTCTTTGAGTTCTTTAAAAGAAGATTTTTTAAGTTTTTACTATATGCATATAGGGAAAATCAATGACCCCCCGGGCGGGGCCAATTTTAACCCCAGGGCTTTTATTTGAACAAACTTTGGTAGACACCTATTAGAACATGTTTGATGCTCAATATCTTAGCCATAGCTCTTTGAGTTCTTTAAAAGAAGATTTTTTAAGTTTTTACTATATGCATATAGGGAAAATCAATGACCCCCCGGGGCGGGGCCAATTTTGACCCCAGGGCTTTTATTTGAACAAACTTGGTAGACACTCACTAGGAGATGTTTCATGCCAAATATCTAAGCTCTAGCTCTTATAGTTTTTTAAAAGAAGATATTTAAAGTTTTTTCTTTCGGTTGCCATGGCAACCAGAGATCTGCATGGAATTAAATTCTTTGAACAATTTTTAAAGGTGACCACCAAAGGAACATTCCTGTGACGTTTGGATGAAATTGGCTTAGTGGTTTATGAGGAGATGTCATTTAAAGTAAAAGTTTACGGACGGACGCCGGACGGACGGACGACGGACGGACGCCGGACGAAAAGCGATCACAAAAGCTCACCCTGTCACTTTGTGACAGGTGAGCTAATAAAAGTAGGTGACTACTCAGATATTAACAAATGTTGCTGTATGATAACAATATATTTGAGCCGTGTCACAACAAAACCAACATAGTGCGTTTGCGACCAGCATGAATCCAGACTAGCCTGCGCATACGCACAGTCTGATCAGGATCCATGCTGTTTGCTATCAGTTTCTCTACTTGTAATAGAGATGGTAAGCGAACAGCATGGATCCTGATCAGACTGCGCAGATGCTCAGGCTGGTCTGGATCCATGCTGGCCGCAAACGCACTATGTTGGTTTTGTCTTGACACGGCTCATTTTATCTTTTTATGAAGCAAATTCAGATATTTCTGCTACCATGAATATTAGAGTGCATATAACCCAAACGAAACATTGCATACTCAACTGTAACATTATATACTTAACATGTTAATAACAATATTAGCAAGAAATTTTAACAAAATACATTCTATCTACTCATATACCGTACAAGTACTTTTTTCTGCGGGAACTTTATTTCTGCTATTTCTGCGGTTCATAACGACACCGCAGATTTAAAAACCGCAGAAAATTTAGCCTTTCCCTATGTCTATGTCGGAATATGTCAACTACCGGTATTGTTTAATTACATTACCATGTACTGTTATTGGCTTTTGTAGATGGGAATTTTTCTTAAAGTTTATGTATCCGTCATGAATAAAATATTAGAAAACAGTTACTTAACTTGTTCTTTTTGTTTAAAAAAGTATCATGTTTGTATGATTTTCGCTCACCATAAGCTTGATTTATTTTTTGTAAAATAAAACTGTTATAGTTTGACGGGTGCAATAAACATACCCTTTTGTATTTGCACAATATCTTGTGGCTATGTGCGATCTTACCGTTGTTTATTTTTCACACTTCATATTTATAGACATGCAGTATTACAATTAATTATTGTCATTTCACGTTGTTGATTTTTGTTTATAAACGTTTATATACCATTATATGATGATTACGATGAAACACAATATAAGTCGTCTGCATGTTTACCGGAAGAAATATACATGTTACATCAACAAACTTTGAAATGTTGTCTGTTTGTATCGGTTAGTTATGTTAAATTATCTAAATTAAAACGCAGAAATAAAAACATCAATGCGAGAATGATGACACCGCAGAAATAAGATTCGCAGAAATTTAAAACCCCTTACTTTAAAAAAATCGCAGAATATTAAGCCCGCAGAAATAAGTACTTATACGGTAGTTTGAAAAAAAATCAATGAATAGTAGATATTTTTTTAAATTTCCAGTTAACAATACCAATAGAAGCTAACCTAAATGGTTGGTGATCAGGTCCATATGTTGATGCATCGCTGCTAATAACACTCTCCCTGTCCGAGTCCCTTCCTATCCTCAGTGCTGAGTTAGACCCGTACCTCATATGTACATCAGGGTGGTATACACCTTTAAAGATGCAATGATAAATATCATGTACAAATATAGTGACATACATATCAATAGATCAATATAACTCAATTCAAATCAAATCAAAATACTGAACATGTATTTAAACCATTAAGGGGAAAATGAAAGAATCCTTCTATGGATGTATCCCTCAAACATAACATTACTGATAAAAAATTCTGAAAAATATATAGAAGCATTCATTGCAGATTAGAATTAACATTATTTAATACAATATCACTTAACACTATAACTTAGACATCATTGTTTATATTAAAATTGAAGTCACACTGCAACAATTTAACACAAGCTGTTGTCTGTGTTGAACCATAGGCATTCTGCAACCATGCATGATAGCTTTCTCATATCAAAGATTTCAACTACTTACAGAAGTGAGGGGACAAATGATTCAGAATCAGCAATAATAACAATTAACTAATGGGAGCAGAAATCAAAGAAAAAACGTGCCCCCACACATTACACTGGTTTGTCAGTTTACAGGTAGATAGGTAAGGTATATGTATGCCCAACACCCTCACCCTTTCATTCCCTAAGTTGGTCAAAACAATCTTTTTAATCAACCTACCATTATTACGTGGCCCTACAGATCTAACCGATCTTGTTTCTGATATGTGGTCCATCACAATATCTGACAGCTCGTCTGAGGCATCACTACTCATTGCGTCATGACGTAATACTCGCAACTTTCTTTGCCTTTCCTTTAACTTCAGGTATTTCTTGAATGCTGGATTGTCATTGGCTTTCGCGGATGTGCTGTTTCTATTGGATGGTCGTGAATGATTATTATGATGGTGATTGGATGATGTCCCTGCTCTCTGTAAATACATAAAAGTCAAGCTGCTAGTCAAAAGTCATAGGTTTCAGTTATATCCTAGCACTAGGCTTAATTGGTGGGTTTCCATTCCAAAAGATGTAAGAAAAGATGTTCTAAAAACACAATTTTAGATATCAAAGTTTGTGATTTAGAATTTGATAATAAATTCTAAAAATTGTGTGACCAGTAACCCTCATTTTCTTGAAATTATGTATTTTTCTCTTATCTTCAGCAACCACTTGGTAATATATTACTAATGGCTAGATAACTATTATTGCTATTATTGTAATACAAAAATTTGACAAACTGACAAACTCCACACAGTGTTTTAACTAAACATATGATATTAAATAACAAAATGCAAGATTCATCATTACAATTTCCTCTTACAAACAATTCTTCCTTTAACTTGCCATAAAATCAAATAAATAAAATATCATATTGTCTACACTTATGCCCCAGGGGGCCTTGCATTTTTTCAAATGGGTGGTTGGGGTGTTCAGGGAGGGGAGGGGGGGAATTAGAATCATAAAAATGTGCTTTATACACATATAATACAGGATTATATTTTTATTAATGATTTTACATTACTGAAGTGTCATTAATTGCAATTTTTTAAATAAAAATATTTAGATTCCTTGGATTGCTCTATCATATAGGATTATAAATCTATCAAGTATAAGTTTTTTTCCCTACAAAATGTGGTGGGAGGGACGCTTATTAGAAAGGTGGTTGGGGGTTTATTGGAAACTATACGGTACAATATACTTATACATACATTAGATGGATGACCATTTTGTGAAGCACTAAATGTGATATCTGAGAGATGATATGATCGCCCAGTGGCGTAATCTGTCGATATTAAATCAGGGTGTGGCTCCCTGCTGTAATTCTCATCCCCTGACCGTAGGTGTGGTGCACCAGGTAGTGGCGTAACTCTGTGATAACCGGAATCTGGGGAATCTATAAGCAGATTAGAAAATTTTAATTGTTCAACGAACTGGTTCTGAACATTTTATAAAGAACAAAACAAGAGACTGTTATCGTGAAAATTAACAATCCCATTTCCATGTCCAAAGCCAAATGAATACAATACATGCTGATATTGCACCTTTGGACTTTTTTAAAGAAGTAAATATTACAAATTAATATGAAAATGCTTATTACTCAGGAATTTTTTTTCTGAATCAAATACTTGAAAATACATATTTCCCATATTGTCCATTAATATATTTCCTACACAAATACTAGTTGTTTATCCCCTTTAAATCAAGAGATAAGGGCTATAAACTATTTGTACATGAAAACATATTGAATACCAGCTGATAACCTTATCATAAACATTTCATCTGTTTCGTCAATAAAACATTATTTACTCATGGCAATTTGCAATGCGGAATTTATATTTGTGCTGGTCTTACTTTTAATGGGTTAATTTATGTATTAAAATGTGGAATTAATCCAGTCTGTTCTTCAAAAAAAATTAATTTTTTTTTAAAAAATCTATCATTTGTTTATCACTATAATAATATGGGCAATTATAAATACTATACTGTGCTCCTCTTAGTTCACGGTACTTAACGCTTTGAACCCAGAAAGAAAACAACACATGAAACTTATAGTACAAAACTTGTTATAAGCTGTAACAAATAGGTATTTTCTGCTGTATGACACAAGGAAACAACAATATATTCAGTCAAAATCAGTTTTAATGAGCAAGATGTAGACTATATGTCAGCCATTTTGAAAACTGTATGTCATCATTTAATTCATGGTAATGGTGTTTTATTTCAGTTTTTTCATGTTTTAGTCAAAATTTCTACATGTTATTTTGCTTAATTTTAAATATTAAAACTATCTTTACTTTAAAAACTCAAAATTTATTCTTTCAACAAAAAAGAACATTTAGAAAATGATGATTGTTTCAGACGTATGCACAAATTTAACAAACTATTGTTGCTTATTGCAGAAGTTTGTAAAATGTTGTTCTGTTTTACGTCAAAATCTACAGATTTAAAATATTTTGCGCAAAAACTTAGTTGTTTAGGTGTTTGAATAAAATATGTCAATTCTGGCCAATTTTAACACTGGTCACATGAAAATATGCCATTATCGTGAAATAAGTGATGACGCGGAATTAGTGATGTTCATTCAGTATAACAGCAAGCATTCAATATCAATTCAACTCTTTTGACATCAGATTGAAAAATAGTAGCAACACAGTCAAATTAAATCTAGCTTTGACAAGAATTTCAAAAGAAACAAGTTTCAACATTTATTTTATGAATCAACCTACCTGCTCCTCTTCCATGACCTTTATGTTTTGAAAGTGACCTTGACCTACTTCTCGAACGTGATCGTGACCTTGACCTGTAATGTTCCGGAGAAGGGTTTCTCTTCTTCCGACTATCTCGAGATTTTTTCTGTTTTCTTCTCGACCTGTCAACTGTAAGTTCTCGTGGCGAAATATTCTGGCGGCTTGTGTTACTTGTAAAACTCTGGTCTGCTACATTTTCTTCAGACTTCAAAAAAAAAAAAGATTCATCAATTTTTCCGCTAAGAGGTAACAAATTGTTTATAGTAACATAAATAACAATAATGTGACTACTATTATAGAATATTCAAAATAACTGGTACAACACCTGAAGTAAACATTATTAATCATTTGTATGAATCTAAAAAATATATGGCCAAAAAATTTCACAAAATATTTTTAAAAGGACATGTACATATATATTATACAAAAAGTATTCTTTTATGCTTGAATAATATACTAACACTTTCCATGCTAAATATCTTAAATGGACTTGCCCATCAAACCATTTTTTTGTAAAAAATTTTAGGTAAAAATTTCAAAATAAGTACTGACTGAATAGTGAACAGCGCAGACCATGATTAGACAGTACAGTGCCAGCCAATCGTAGTCTGCACTGGTCACATGGGTAGAAGCAGTTGCCCCATCATGCCCCCCTGCACGCTTAACGTCAATATAAATACTTAAATTGCTTACATTCAGCAGTACAATGTGTGACATAACCAAATATAGATAAGTTTATAAAGATAAATCATTTTCTAAATATAAGATTTATAATATATATTTCACCTGTCCTTCAAGACCAAGGACTGTCTTGTACAGGTTGGTCACCGTTCTAGAGAAGCTTCTATCTAATCCTCTACCTAAATGCTCCTTTTGGAGGCCACATACCTGGAAAATATGACAATATGTTTATTCTTATATTAATAATGCTGATTTATATGAAATTATAAATAAAAGAACTGCATACTCAGGATAACATAAAGGGCATACCTGACACTGATATAGATGTCATTCAAGCATTATGTCACCGTAAATGTCTACTGAAAGAAAATGAATACTGGGACAAAATGTGGGTAGGGGGGCTAGGGTGGGAAACAGATGTGAGTGCATGTTGAGAGTAGCATTAAGTAACTGAGTTTTAAGGTAATTATGGTGTTATCAGTCTGTCAATTCATCACTTTACTGGACTGCCATTTTTTCAACTTTCTTAGCATAGTTCTACATTTTCTGTACACTCTAATAATTTACCTTTTTTTCTTCCTTGAATGTGAAAAATACAACAGTACTGAAATATTATGACAATTATTTTCCTTTTATCGTTCAAGCGTTGCTTTTTTTGCCTTCTTTTTCTTAGCTTAATCTCAAGTATTAAAAGCTACTTTTTTTTCATCTTTGAACTAACAGCATCTTTAATATGACTACTATAGAACATACATGTACTTGATTTAGAATAGGCAAAACCTTGGTGAGGAAATAGTCACAAAACAAGGTTTTCCCCCACGATTACTTAACAATATGTGAAATAAACAAACAAAGGGCTATAATTTTCTTATCTAGCCAATATTCAACAAAGTATTTCATGACATTGTCTTTGATTCTTATGTTAATAAATTTGGATGAAATCCCTTGAGAAATGTTACATAATTGTTTGCGCCCAGCCGTCCAACGGCAAACATTTATTAATCAATTAACCAGAGTTTCCTATTAAAAGCTTGCCTTGAGGTTATAAAACTTTATTTCTGAGTTCTGTCTCAGATCTCTGTATTTTCATTGGTCAGTGTACATTCTGTGGCAGTTTCTGACCAATTAAATACCTGAGATCTGAGTTTAAGACTGGAGAATTTCTGTATAACCAACGACCTGATTAAGACAAGCTAACATTTTCACACTGTTGGTTTCAAATTTTTCTGATATTATTGAAAGTATATTGTCATTGAATTGATAAACAACCTTATTATATTTTCGGCATGCTAAATATTTTTTTCATTCAAATGATATTCAACCATATCATGTTTTCTCTAGTGTGAAATTTTAGAAAACTGACATAAAAAAGGTCATATGTCAATCATTAATTATTTTTAATGTTCAACTAAACTTAATAGCTTATAATTGGTTGTGAATGAAATGTGATAACCACTTTTTTCACGAAAATAAATCATTTATTTTAACTGCTTTGAAATTATCATCAATTATATATAGGTCAAGTTTCTTTTCAAATGGTTGTATATTAATTCAACATAGCACAATTTAGTGGGGTTTTTTTCCTAAATGAAGACAAATTAAAAATATTATACTTGATCTTATTTCCCTTTCAGTTGGAAATCAAGTCTATTCTAGTATACTTTTCATGAATGCACAGCTTACTGTAAGCAGTTGACTTTATTACTTTAGCGAGAAGTGCTCCCATGATAGTTTAACTATTTTAGTATCACTGACATATGATAATATAATAGTATGTTTTCTGTGACTAAGTATACTTAACCCTCAAGCAATGCAGAAAAAAGTAATGATCAAAAGTACACTACCCTACAAAACTTCAGTGAGCAATGCTCTCTGATCAAAAGTACACTTCCCTACAAAACTTCAGTGAGCAATAGTAATGATTAAAAGTACACTTCCCTACAAAACTTCAGTGATAATGCTCTCTGCAAGGAGTAAATGATCAAAAGTACACTTCCCTACAAAACTTCAGTGATAATGCTCTCTGCAAGGAGTAAATGATCAAAAGTACACTACCCTACAAAACTTCAGTGATAATGCTCTCTGCAAGGGGTAATGATCAAAAGTACACTACCCTACAAAACTTCAGTGATAATGCTCTCTGCAAGGAGTAAATGATCAAAAGTACACTACCCTACAAAACTTCAAGTGATAATGCTCTCTGCAAGGAGTAAATGATCAAAAGTACACTACCCTACAAAACTTCAGTGATAATGCTCTCTGCAAGGAGTAAATGATCAAAAGTACACTACTCTACAAAACTTCAGTGATAATGCTCTCTGCAAGGAGTAAATGATCAAAAGTACACTACCCTACAAAACTTCAGTGATAATGCTCTCTGCAAGGAGTAAATGATCAAAAGTACACTACCCTACAAAACTTCAGTGATAATGCTCTCTGCAAGGAGTAAATGATCAAAAGTACACTACCCTACAAAACTTCAGTGATAATGCTCTCTGCAAGGAGTAAATGATCAAAAGTACACTACCCTACAAAACTTCAGTGATAATGCTCTCTGCAAGGAGTAAATGATCAAAAGTACACTACCCTACAAAACTTCAGTGATAATGCTCTCTGCAAGGAGTAAATGATCAAAAGTACACTACCCTACAAAACTTCAGTGAGCAATGCTCTCTGCAAGGAGTAAATGATCAAAAGTACACTACCCTACAAAACTTCAGTGATAATGCTCTCTGCAAGGAGTAAATGATCAAAAGTACACTACCCTACAAAACTTCAGTGAGCAATGCTCTCTGTAAGGAGTAATGATTAAAAGTACACTGCAAATTTAAGTGTACAACACTCTGCAAGTAAACTTTCCTTCCTTCAAAACTTCAGTGAGCAATGCTCTCTGCAAGGAGTAATGATGAAAAGTACACTACCCTTCAAAACTTCAGTGAGCAATGCTCTCTGCAAGGAGTAATGATGGAAAAGTACACTACCCTTCAAAACTTCAGTGAGCAATGCTCTCTGCAAGGAGTAATGATGAAAAGTACACTACCCTTCAAAACTTCAGTAAGCAATGCTCTCTGCAAGGGGTAAGGATTAAAAGTACACTACCCTTCAAAACTTCAGTGAGCAATGCTCTCTGCAAGGAGTAATGATCAAAAGTACACTACAAATTTAAGTAAGCAACACACTGCAAGTAAACTTTCCTTTAAAACTTCAGTGAGCAATGCTCACTGCAAGGATTAATGATCAAAAGTATACTACCGTACAAATTCAAATGAGTAATGCACTCTGCAAGCAGTAATGATTAAGTTCCCTTCAAAACATAAGTGAACAAGATACTCTCTAAATATACTAGCACACATCAAAACTTTTAGTACTGCTTTCGATTAGGAGTAATGATTATTCATCATTAGAAACTTCCTAAAGTTTGCGAAGCAGTCTGCTTTTAGCACCATATTTCTGTAACAAGAGCTGTCCGTAAGACAGCGCGCTCGACTTTTTTATTGCTTGCCAATAAAAAAAGTTTTTGCAGTAAAAGGCAATACAAGAATCTCTGTATTTTTAAAGTGAACAATGGCCATGAGCATTAAGATATTTAGTGAAGAATTATTTTACTGAATTGTGTGATACCCTTGTCCACCAATCAAATAGGCGAGATAAAATGTGAAATATGCACATACTACTGATTTTAATTTCAAGTACAAAAAGAGAAAAATAACTAGTTGTTTGATACCCTTGAATATTACAGCAATGTTTATATGACATAATTTATGGTAAAGTGAACAAGTGGATAGGAATGAATTTTTTTAGATTTTTTAAGTTTTTTAGTGCTTGCCTATAATACAAAACATTGACAGTTAAGGGCCATAATTCAAATAAAATCTTTGACAGAATTACCTTCTCCTGGACATGTTTGGGAATCATGATTGTAAACAAGTATTCCAACTTTCAAATTAATATCTCAAACAGTTCAGTCAAAAAGTGGACTGGTACTAAAAACTTAACCAAGATTCTAAGTCGATAAAAGGCCTTAATTTTTAAAACAAATCCTTGACAGAGTTACCTTCTCTTGCGTACAGATGGGGTAATGATGTGAAATAGCATTAAAAGTTTCAAAGCAATATCTCAAAGGGTTAAGGCAATAAGTGGATTTTACCCATATTCAATGTATTTTCTAAGTCAAAAAGGGGCATAATTCTGTCAAAAACCTTGACAGAGTTATGTCCTCTTGTCTGTTGATGAAGGTCGTGATGGTAAACAAGTATGGTCAGTTTCAAAGCAATACCTCCAATGGTTTTGAAATAAAGTGAGGTGGTACAAAAAACTTAACCAAGCTCAATACACTTTCTAAGTCAAAAAAGGGCCATAATTCTGTCAAAAACCTTGACAGAGTTATGTACTCTTGTCTGTAGATGGAGGTTATGATGGTGAACAAGTATGGTAAGTTTCAAAGCCATACTTGTAATACTTCTGAAATAAAGTGGGGTGGTACGAAAAACTTAACCAAGGTGTGACGCCAACGCCGACGCCGGGGCGAGTAGGATAGCTCCCCTTTTCATAGAAAAGTCGAGCTAAACACTTGTGGAAACAATGCTATTTGTGTCAAGTTGAGACTTACGGTATATTATAATATACTTTCCTCCATCGTTGGAGCTCTCTGTAAGGAGAATAATAACGTGAACCAATGTTTTCTTCAGTTTGAATAATTTTGGTATACTAACCTCCAAAACTTTAGCGAGGGGTGCTCTCTGTGAGGAGTTCCTGTATGTCATCCTCCTCAAGAGGGACTCCAAATTCTCACTGATTCTAACAGGCTGAAATTAACACACAGATTGTAATATTAAATCCAAACAATTAAATAAAGTTGTTACAGAATGTACACATTTTGGAAAATAACAAATTCAGTTTAAATACAATTTTATGGCAAAAAGTTAATGTTAGTAAATATTTCACGCATTTTCCTCCTTAAACGAAATGCATAAGACACATATATTTTTTAAAATTAAATGCATATTGATCCATTTCACAGATCTATTTGTAAAATAATTTAGTCATATTTTTATTTAAATAAATAGTTTTGAAGCTTTAATATTTTTTTTCAAATTCTGCGTAAAATGATCACCTTTTCAATTCTGAAAGTATGATAGAATTGTTTACAGGATTACAGCTACATATTTAATCTATATCCACATATAATGAATATTTAACTATTTAAAACTAAGTCACACTGTTAATTCTCATTTTTAAAAAAATCACATTTTTCTATAAATAAAACTATAAATGAAAGAATTGCAATTCTTCGTCTAAAAGAAATATTCTAAAATCACAACTTCTAGCCTGCAATTCTAACACACAAATGAATTGAAGGAAGAGCTGAAAAATCTGGTGTGTTTTAATTATGATAGATATTAATTTGGCACCATAATGTTTCATGTTCATACAACCTAGGGTGTTTTTTTCTTCTTCAATTTCTTGTAAATGTATGGTCCAAATTAACATTGATTAAGTCATCATAAACAATTGCTTTCTACATCAACAACGTTCTTTCAAGATTCGTGTTTCCCAGCAGGGACTAATTACTTTGCAAGCTTTGAAGACCGTCTTTTAATACAATTAAGCAAACCTTTTTTTATATTAATTAAGAATTTCAGGTACAAAAAACGAGTCTGTAAGGTATTATGAAAGCAGCTTAGATGGTAATAAAAGCTGGAAACATGCTCAGTTTTTTAATGGTTTCTGTTTAAAGAAAGTAAAAAGCAATGATACTAATTCATTATATAGCTTGAAGTTTGCATAAAAAGTAAAAACCAAGCTTATAGAATCTAGAACATTTAATTGAAGACAAGTTTTAACTGCATGATTGGTTAATTTAAATGAGTAGTTAAAATTAACCAATCAGAAACAAATCAGATAACTGATTCTGAGACTGGTTTAAAAATATTATATTTAAAATCTTTTCAAAACCAAAAAATTGAAAAACCAGTCCAAAATTGGATTCTTACGATTGGTGCATTTCAAAATATTGACTTGAAATTAACCACTCAGAATTCTTAAATTTCAGACTGGCTTTATAATATTTTCATCAACTGTGAATTATAGTGTCTTATATTATACAAGCTAGAAAGCAAGGTTTTCTGAAAACAAAGTCAGGATGGCCCAAAAGACTGAACTTAAACCTCCTTCACCACATAGCCAATGAAGGCTGTAACTTTGTGCATGTTAAACTAACAAAAGTGCAACACTGATTCCTTCATCCAACTTGACACCAAGGACTGGTGCAAAAGTAAAAATTTAAAATGTGTGCATGTAAGTAAGATATGTTCAGTAAAATTGTGGTGAAAGGTATCATTATGAAATGTTTATTTAATAGTATTACATATTATAAGTTAGACAGTGCCAGGAAGTCAGTGATTTTTTTATACTTACTACCGCATGTCTCAATAAATATCATCTTTTATGAAACATTCAATCGCTTTCTTAAATTTTAAATTAATTTTTTTTTTTTTGCTTAATTATCATAAAAGAGTATTGTCTTTAAAAAAAACAAAAAAACATTATGAAACATAATCTTTTCAGCATATTTAGCTTATAAAATAAAAAAATTGCAAAGTAAACAATATTTGAACCATAAAAAAGAACTAAATAGTTCTAAATTTACATTACAATTATCTAAATATTGACATAATTATCATTTATCCTTCAAAAATATAACTAAGCCAAACAAATTTGAAAACTAAGAATAGATACATTAATATATTAACTTCAGAAATAATACAGGAAAAAGAAAAATCATATCTTAGAAATATAATTATGATGCTTAAAAATAAAACATCTGATTATATGGACTGATTATATGGAACAAAAATTAGCCACTCCAAATATAACAAGATTTGGTCATATAACGTAAGATTTCTTTTGGCAAAATTATATGTGATCACCACACCATATAAGACAATGTGACCTTATTGCAGTACATTAAAGCATAACACCATGGTGACTAACTAAAGCATGTGAAAGATCATTAGAACACAACAGTTTTCCTGCGTTACCTTTGACATTTTGCTCGAGGAATTCATGCCACTGTTACGCTGAAATAATTCCAAATTAGCCAACATAACAAGGTGGGTTAATATTACACAATCAAACGAAACATACACATTTCAAGGGATATATTTGTATATATTCAAGTTACATACCAAACAAAAATACATGTAATATATCATATATTATGATTTTTTTTCTTTTTCCATATATTTCCTATACCATCATTTATTGAAAAATAACACCTTGTATACAATATCAAAACATCTTTGGTAATATCATTAAAAAAATCAAATTTGTAACTAGGACTTGTTGATTTGCAAACAATAACATTAACAATTTACAAATAACAGGCCAAGTTTCCAGGACAAATTTCTTAATATTTCAGCTAGTGGCAAGGGAAAAATAAAGCATATACACACACTCCAGTACAATTGCACTTTTCATGATTTTAAATAATTAATACTTATTTTAAATTATTACTATAATAAGGATATTACATTTCATAAGCACTGCCAATGTATCATACAGGAGACATTCTGAAAATGTTAACCTAATCTTGTCATGTAGTACATTAAATGGTACAAGTCAAACCCATGATAAAGACAACATCTAGCATTCTATTTTGAGAGATTAATAATTATCTATAAAAGATTTCCTTCACTTTGGCTTACTAGACTTTACTAAAAAGTTTTGTTTTTACCTATGACACTGATTTATATTATGATTTAATGATATTTTCCTGGTGTATGCTTCTTTTTCCCCATAATAAAATCTACAGTAAAGGTTTCCGAGATTTATGGCACTTGACTCATAAGAATGTCTATAATTTAAGATTGAAAATGCAACAAAAACAATTCACAAGTATGTTTACATCATAGAATACTACTGACATAAATATAGCATTCATAATTTAATCAGTCTTATATCTTTTAAAAGCCCAACATTTACTATGAAACATTACTTTAAAACATAAAATCTTGGGCTTCAGTCAATTCCCTAGCCAAGTCTGCTTTCAACAAATAACAGCCAGTTGTTTACAGGAAAAAAGTGGCTACACAAACTTAAACCAATATATTCAATCATCATTCTATCATCATGCTATCAACATTATTTTCTCCTATTTTCTGTGTTTTACCTATATAATATTGCTTCCTCTGAGTTATACATGTAGTTTACTACAGGCAGAAACATAGTTCTTCTACAGAATGACTCATGCATACACCTAATGCACGTTCATCTAAACAAAGGATATTTCTTCTCATTATATACCTATGTGTACAACATCTTACTCATTAAATCAGTTCATTATTCTAACACTTATCCCAGGTGAGTTCAGAAGTTTTACAAATTATAAAGGTAAGATCAGGCAATTTCTGGCACACCCCTGTTCTAAAACTGAACAGATGTTTGTAGGTGTATATGAAAATTTGAGCCGCGTCACGACAAAACCAACATAGTTCGTTTGCGACCAGCATCCGCGCAGTCTGATCAGGAACCATGCTGTTCGCTTACCAACTCTATTACAAGTAGAGGAACTGATAGCGAACAGCATGGATCCTGATCAGACTGCTCGGACGGGCAGGCTGGTCTGGATCCATGCTGGTCGCAAACCCACTATGTTGGTTTTGTCGTGACGTGGCTCAAATTGTTGTAATATACCAGGGGTGTATTCTGGTAAAATTTTGCCATGATTTTGTAAGTCTATGAAAAAAAAGAGAACTTCAGGCATGAAATCAGAGGGGCAAAAATACAATGCATTAATGTCAATTAAAGTTGTATACCAGAAGTTGGCATTTAAGTACAGATTAGGCAGATGTTTTAAATGGTAAAAAAAAAACAGGCAAAGATAAAAATGGGAGAACTACCTTGAACAATCAGCTTCAATTAAGTAATAGACATGGGGCAAATTCAGTTAGGTAATAAATGTAATGGAAGTAGAAAACATATTGTTCAAGATTCAAAATGATTTTAATATTTTTACCAAGCATTTCTTATTTATCACATACTTAAGAACTCATGTCACCTGATATAATTATCAGATCTAAATATCCATTCAAAAATATAACTTACTGAAAAATAAAAAATTTCAAGGCTTTAATTTAAAAAATAATTTGGCAAGGCAGCATTTAGAAATTGCTTGCCAAAGTCAACTTATTTATGTAACATTGAATCTCATTGGTTACTTTTTAGCATCTGACTAAAGATAATCTTGCTTATATCTTTACCTTAATGTTTTGCAGTAATCTAATATTACTATGCCTGTATGGATGAATGACCGAAGAAACATTCACATCTAAATAATAGAACAATTCACTTTAGATTACAGACAGCAGCTTGTTTACTTAGACAATAAGAAACAACATCATGTAAGCTTTGTTGATTTTGAGTCCTAAAAATACAGTAGAATCTGATCATTGACATTTAAGTTAAGATTATGGAACAAGAACAATATTAGCAGGTGTCCATACTTTAATTCAGCTACAACAATAGCTGTCAATAAAAAAGGGCCCTCCACTATGGAGACCTGTGTCCATCATGTTACATAATCACATCTAGTGAACAAGTGTGTGAAGTTTCAACCCATTCTCTTTAGTACTTTTGGAGACACCGACTTGCAAAAACTTAATCAAATAGTCGAGCTAAAAATGGCACTCCATTAACTTAGCAAACAACTTCCACACATAACAGAATCTACACATTTTAAAACTTTCTTGTAGTAACTGGCAAGTCAAGATAATGTATAGCCCAATACACAATGCATAGCGTAATCTATTTCACAAAGAAATATCAACAGCACAAAAACAGAAGAATGGTCCAGACAAAATGGAAATTTAATTAATCAATGTTTCTAAAAAAATCAAACAACAACAAAAAAACACAAGACAAACCGACAGTTAGAAAAACCAGACTTGGGAAGTTTCTAAAAATACATTTTCTAGAGATGTTTCATGGCAATTACCTTAATTATGATGGTAGTCAGACCAGTTTGTCTAATATTGTTTACTGTTGAATGACAGAGAGATGTAATGGCAACAGCCAGTAGACAATAGATAACAATGATAGTCAGTATCATGTAAGTACAAACATATCTCACTTACCACTATACTAATATTATGTTAACATCTTCTCTATTGTGTTTTACAACCTTAACGACTGTATGGCATGGCCCCTATCACAATTAAGTTTTCATAAGTTTAAACGCAGCAATGAGACTTCTTTTGGCCAGGCAGCTCAAAATTGTACAGGCTTTTTAACTTGAATTGATCTTCAAACATTAATTAATGCAGACTTTTTCTTCAAAAAGTTTATAAAGTTGGCATGGCTTTTAGGTCAAACAGCAGCATTTTGTACATTCTCTACAGTTGAGGAATATCAAAGGTGCATATTTCCGGCATTATATATTATATACATGTAAGTTAGCACCTGTGAAAAATCACCAACCTTTCAATTGTAATTTTTTCAAATATACTACACCTTAAATAACCTTCTTGGTAACTTTCACATACAATTTTGTTGGAATAAAAGAAGAAAATTTAACAAGAAAATTCTCTTGCTCATATGATTCAAATTGTTTCTTCAGGCACATAAACATAATTCACACTTAATACCACTTCAATCTTCATACAAAATAATAGTAAAAAAGTTTCAAGTTATTCTTGAAAATACAAAAAGTTTATGGGAAGAGAGCTTATCTTTTATTTCTACACAGAAACTGTTTCTCTGTTTCATAGATACCTGAAAACTAAGCAGCTTGTGAGTCACTTTCTCTCCTATGTTTTTTTTTTTTTTATGCGTTTATTTAAGGTCGCCGCCGGAAAGCCCATATGGGCGACCGTACACTCAAGTCGGGCCATCCTAGAGCGTCCCGCCGAGATTTTTTCATCGATTTTTTTCCAGCTTTATTGGTGGAGGAAGACCCCAAGTGCCCCTTCGGGCATTATTTCAGGCACGAGCGGGCACCTGGGTAGAACCACCGACCTTCCGTAAGCCAGCTGGATGGCTTCCTCACATGAAAGATTTCGACCCGAGTGAGGATCGAACCTACAGCGGTGAGGGACCTGTGATCTCAAGTCAGCGACCTTAACCACTCGGCCACGGAGGCCCCCAAATCTCTCCTATGTTCTTTTGCTATGATTTATATATATCCAGCTAAATGTGAATAATGGACTGGCCCAATGCCTTATATCTGGAACAGTCCATTTGAAGTTGAAGGGATTTCATTACCAAAATACAAACATTCATTCATTTAGGAGCCTGGTCACTCTATGACTGTACAATGATGCATTAAGTAAGTCATTATCAACAACTTGTGTTTTTGCCATGAGTAATGATAGTGTTTCCCCCCTCTAGACTTATAAACTTGTTGGTTTTGGCAATCATATATCTGACAGGCAAACAGAAAAGCTTCAAATTACTAATCAAGGTAAAAACTATGCTTATTACATTCTCTGCAACACGGAGAACTTCAATATATGACTGAAGTCTAAAAATACAATTGTGTGTTTGCATTTATTTGTTTTTTTTGTGTTTTTTTTTAATCTGAATACTGCATTTCAGTTTGTTCAGCCTTGGCAATAACATACGAAAGGAAAGCTCAACAAAAGGGGGGGCAACATTCACTGAACATAGTCCCCAACAATAACCAGCCACACAGGGCCACCAGTAAGGCACCTAAAGGGGGCAACATAAGGACTCAAGGGCAGGGCAAGGAGAGGGTGTGCCAATTACTGCTAATAATCCATAATTAAACTTACACATTAATTTCTGATACATTTAATAGGTCTAAAATCAAGAAACTGAAGATACAATCATCCTTTTTTGTAAAAAGTAGGAAAACATGAAGTTCATAAATCATTCAAACTTTTTAAAATGTTAAAAGAAATACTAGACTTTTGACACAATATATATATTTATTACATCCTATAGGAATAATATAGGAAAAGAACTTTCATTCCGATTAACGTTTAGCTCTAGCTCGCTGGTTACATCTGAATCTACCCATGTGACCAGTACAGGCGACAATTAGCCAACACATCTGTGCTGT